TGAGGACAGAAAAATTTTGACTAGTTTCGCTTTATATCGAAACGATGGTGTTTTGTGGCATCCATAATAGGGATGTATTTTATGTAGATGTACGTGTATGCCACAGCTACTATTCTTCTTTACTGTCGTAGTTGTTGTTGCTATTTCTTTTTAGTCCGCTTCTTTCTCGACAGCTAGTATAGTGCGGTAGCAGCTTTCACAAATGTATATATGTATATTTAGAAGAAAATTATGGCGGCAATTATTATTATTATTATTATGATGATGATGATGATGATGATAATGATACTCTCTTGAGTAAAAATTAAAGAGAACAAATACAATCCTACAACATTTGGATGATGATAATGCTGGTATTTTTTCTGTCGATCAGCTTTCTGTCTGTATACCCCACGTGTATGCATTTGCACATCGTTATCGAACTTCTCTGGTAGAAAGGAGTCGGAAGTAGACAACCTTGCAGGCAGATCAGCAAGTAGCAAGAGCACTCCTTTACGTTTGAGTGTCCAACAAAAAGAAAGCTAGATAGAAAGCAGGAAAACTCAGCAGAAAAGGAAATCGAGAGTGTAAGAAAGAAAGAATGAGAGAACATAACAATTAATTTCCCTTTTTTTTTTTGAATGAATGAACGACCAAGCGACACCCAACGATAAAGAAATTATAATAGGCAAGAGAAAGCGAAGAAAAAGAAATATAAGAAGAAAAAAGCACGAAAGCGCAGGATGGAGGTTTTGAAGTAGTCTCAATAATAACGGCAGTGCCATAAGAAGGAAAATACGTCTGTTGTGAGCATAGCCTTGTATAGAAAACATCACATCATCGCCATCATCACCATCTTTCTAAAAGACGTCACTAAAAGGTAAGGCGAACTTCCGTGTTATTTACTTTCGATAAATTAGAGAAAGAGAGAAAAAAATCTTTCTATATTGAAAAGGAAATTGATCATTGTATCATCATAGTTCATTGGTGTAGTGCTTTTACTGTTGACTTGTCAAAAGCTAATTTTGTTTCGGACACGAATACGAACTAGTTGTTCTTATCTATTAAGCAAAAGAAAAGGAAATCCGTCATTTTAATAAGTTTATCACATCGTATTCCTTTCCAGTCAGTGATGTTTTAGTCGTCATCATCTCTGGTTGATTATCTAATAGCGGGAAAAAATGTGTTTTTTTTTCCAACGATACAGAGCGATGGACTGCGCGGGCCCGTCAAAAATAACATCGTTGTCATCTTTGTCTTCATCACTATTTCTGTAGAAAACAGCTTTCTTCATCTTCGTTTCTGTTTCCCTAATGAATGCTGACGGAGAGTGAATCGTAGTCGATGATCGGATCAGACACACGCGTGACTCCTAATTGTATTATGTTAGATCTTTGCAACAAACAACATAAGCATGCATAGCATACACATACATCTATCTATCCATCTATCCATCTATCTATCTATCTATCTATCTGTCTATCTATATATCTATATATATATGAGCGAATTTCAACTTTTTGGTACGATTATGATTTTAGCTGTATTTGCGAAATAACTTTTGATCTACTCCACTGATTTTAATAATTTTTTGTATGGTTACTACGTTATCTGTGTCCTACTGCTACACCAAATTTCAGATTTCTAGCTCATACAGTCGAGAACTTATAGATCTTACACTGTGAAAAAATCGCATTATTCAAGGGGGGACATGCTACAATAATGATATTTTCTAAATATGAAAAACGAGGACAAAATTGTAGAGTCTGAAACGCTATTTCAAATGATATGGGTTTTGTATTTCTTATTTCTTCTTTTATGCGTTCATTTGCTTTAAATATGAAATTACAGACAGTTTGCCATATTTGTGTAGAACAACCTTATGTTCAATTTGCTTCATCCGAGCGAAAGTGGAAGGAAAGCGAAGGTAGGCAAAAGAAAGACAATTGAAAGAGCAACAAAATAGTAAAATGAAATCATTCTAAATAACTTTTATTGTCGGTAAAAAGAAATCGATTATTTTAAAAAAAATTAGAGTTTGACTCATTTTGTAGAACGATTTCTTGAAAATTACTTCGTGAAAGGTCGGTTTGTTTATGCTCAAACTTTTACTGTAGGCATAGTTTGTATGGTTGCATAACCAGTAAAAAAATCAGCCTTGCATCTCTTTCTATTAAGGAGAATTTTGCAAAATATAATGTACCTTCAACGGACGTTTTCCATTAAATTAACGTTTTTTATGCTACGTTTACATTGAAGTAAGTCGTATCTCAACTAATACGTAGTAAAGCGTTTGGAAACTTTTGCTGTGTAACATAGGCACAGAGTGTACTGAAATGCACTGCTCAAAAATTGCTTATGCCTACTTCTAGCTTTTCGCACCTACCCTACCAAAAAGTTGCAATTCACTCATATGTATATATGTGTATATATATATATATATACACAGATTCCAGCATGCACACTAATTCTGTTATTTATGTTTAAATTATCAAAATAACAAAAGACATATAACAGGCAATAGAATACGACTTATACACGACGATAAAATTAGCCAGAAACATAGGAGCTACGCTTACTTTCTTCATTTCACTGAGTCATTTTTTGAGAATACCGCCTACTTACACATCCCGAAATCATCATCGATTCACTGGAAGTCGTTGTTGGACTGGTTTCCATTCATTTTATCGTCATCATCATCATCATCATCATCATCATCATCATCATCATCATCATCATCATCATCACCACCACCATCATCATCATCATCATCATCATCATCATCATCATCATTGCTGGTTGACGAGTGTCAAATTAATCATTGCTCTACCTCGGTTGATGTCGTCTCTTGCTCTCGCCTTCTCGACTCATTGCTTCGATGAAAATCATCTGCGAACAAGGGGTAAAAGAAAGCGAGAACGAGCAAGAAACCAAAATTGGCTTTTTGCATTCTTCTCTTTGCGCTTGTGCCTTCTAATTAGCAGCTAACAAAACTAACCCTTCCTTCATACAACAGTATCTTGGTGGTTGTCGTTGTTGTTATTATTATTATTATTATTATTATTATTATTATTTTTATTTTTATTATCATTTTTATTATTATTTTTATTTTTTTGTTGTATTGCTCATAACACGAAATTTATCGTGCCAAGAGCTACCACCCGTTCTCATCTCTTGTCATCGCAATCCTATGTAAACACTGACTGACAGCAGTCTCTCCGTTTTATAATGCATGCTAGTATGAAAAAAAATGAAATCCTTTTTTTTTGTATGTTTGTGTTCTGATGTTAGCAACGATAGAGACTAAAAGCGAGAGAACTTCCACATAGTAATGCACTAATATTACCCCCCATCATCAATTCTGATCGATAAGAAAACAAGAAAAGAAATCAAACTGAAATCAATACACTATTCGTTTTTTTGTATTAAATACACGCGTGCATTACTGCCGCCAGTCGATCAAGCCATTCGAATCATTTTTCATTCGAATCATACTTATGATTTCTTTTGTATTTTACAACCAAATCTACTATATATATATATATATACCTGTTACCCATTCGATCATGCTGTTTCCACCAATATGACTTGGTTAATGTTGATCTTGCGTGATTCTAATGAAAACTCGTGTACATCATTGTATCAGCAGTTCCCCCCCCCCTCTCTCCCTTTATCTCGCTCGCTTTCAGTTTCTTTTTTCTTTGACTTCATCGAATTTTTTAATTGAAGGAAAAGAAAACGAAAAGATTGAAGAAACAGAAGACGCAACCAGATCAGATACAGTGAATACCGGGAAATGAGGATATCCGAGGAACCCTTAAATAAGTGGTATAGGATCATTAATCATTTTCAACCAAATTCTTTTTTTAAATCTATTTTTGAATGTTTACTTTTTTTTCTTTGTTCACTATATGACTTTTAAGCGTCTTATTGTAGTAAAATAGAAAAAAGAAATCATTGTTTCTTTTTCTTTTCCTTTTTTGCTTATAACGCCCATTTTATGATCGTCGACATTATTATTATTAAGCAAATATATATATATTTTTAAAAATCTATAACAAATTTAAGAATACATGTGTTTGCATGCTTACACGCATATACTCACCAGAGGAAAAGATGTGGAATCAGCATACCCAGGGAGAGAGAGAGAGAGAGAGAGAGAGAGAGAGAGCAAGAGAGAGACGAAGAGGGGTATTAGTATATGCTTATATTTATTTATATATATATATAGAGAGAGAGAGATTCTTATGTGCATCTTCAGCTACTATCGTCGGCAACACATACAATATAGAAAGTTGCTCGTTGTCGACGGGGACAATGAGGACAATGAACTATAAGATTTCCCACGAGATTTTCATATTGTTGCTCAACGATATTTTGTTATGTGCACATAAAAAGATAAGACAATGCTAGTAGCACAAACAAAAAGCTTGAAATTCATTTATTAGCTGAAGTATATTTTTCGATTTTTCTTTTTTAGATCAATTAAATATTCAAGTATAAAGAAAAAAAAGTCAAGAATAATATGAACTAGGATGGTAATGAAATATGTAGCAAATTTTACCTCCTAGCTATTTTCTGTCGACTCGACGTAAGTCATAACAAGGTCATAGTTTTTCTATCGTCTTATTAACAACATGTTTCTTTTTACTACACATTCACGTATACGTGTATTCATAGACGCACACACACACACACACACACATATATATATATGTATATATATATATGTCACTTTTGTAGGTTGATGGAATCTGATGTTAGTATTATATTTTTATGTTAAAATTGTTTGAAATAAATGGCATCTTGAGCAATTAATGACAATATGCACATCAGAACGTCTTTTCTTGACGTATAACACATCAATAATGTTTATTATGTTTTCTTTTTATATAAATATAATTTATTTATATATTTATATATATATGCATATGTATATAGGTGCCCATCGGTGTCGACTTTTGTTACCAAAACCAACACCTGTTCCATTCAAATGATGCAGCAAGAATTTTTGCTCGATCATGGATAAAACTCGTTTAACAACTACCAATAAAACCAATCATACCATCAATAATACTAATAAACTTCATTTTCCATCATCATCAACAGTTGCTGCATTACCCAACGATGATAAGCATATACATGAAACAGATCGTTTGCTAACTGAACGTGCATCGTCAAATATTCTATCGGATTTACCGCGTTCACGTAATCTTGAAGAAACAGATGACATTGATTTACCGTTCCCAGGTTTCGTTGATCGAGTTTTCTATTGTCTTAGACAAACAACACCATTACGTTATCAATGTTTACGATTAATAACATGGCCATGGTTTGAACGTATAAGTATGTTTGTTATTTTACTTAACTGCGTCACACTTGGTATGTATCAACCATGCTCACATTTTACAACCTCAGAAATGCCAAAAAAATGCGACACTGTACGTTGCATCTGGTTACAAGCAACGGACTATTTCATATTTGCATTTTTTACTATTGAAATGTGTATTAAAATGACAGCCATGGGAATATTTGGCAAAGGTTCATATCTAGCCGAAACATGGAATAGACTTGACTGTTTTATTGTTGTTTCTGGGTAGGATTTTCCTTTTTGACAATAAATAAATAAAATATTTATACGTGTTATTTTTACAGGTTAATTGAATCGGTAATACCAGGTGATAATTTAAGTTTATCAGCTATTCGTACAGTTCGAGTTCTTCGTCCATTACGTGCCATTAATCGTGTACCATCCATGCGTATATTAGTTATGCTTTTACTTGATACACTACCAATGCTTGGCAACGTTTTACTTCTTTGTTTTTTTGTCTTCTTTATATTTGGTATTGTTGGTGTACAATTATGGAAAGGTTTATTACGTAATCGCTGTTTTTTACAATTAAATGCAACAACTATACCCAATCATGCACTGTTTGAGTACGTTTATAAACACATTCAAAAGACAAAACAGAAAAAGAAACTCGATACATTTCATTATTTTTCTTTTAGTGATTTTCCTCTACGACCGTTCTATATTCCACCCGATCATGATTCATTTGTGTGTTCACAGCCACATTCGGGTGGAATGACAAAATGTTCTGAAATTCCTAAATTGCGAAAAGGCAATACAACATGTGAACTTGATTTTTATAAATCAAGTGCACAATTAGACAATAATCCTAATATGTCAGTCAATGGTTGTATTAACTGGAACCAGTATTATAAATTTTGCAATGTTTCCGATAAAAATCCATTTTCTGGTTCGATTAGTTTCGATAACATTGGTTTAGCATGGGTTGTTATCTTTCAAGTAATAAGCAAATCATGTTTTCTTTTGTGCCTCTGTTCAATCATATTTTTATTCTTTTTCTTTTTTTAAGATAATCAGTCTGGAAAGTTGGGTCAATATTATGTATTATATACAAGATGCTCATTCATTTTGGGATTGGATTTATTTTGTTTTTCTTATTATAATTGGTTCATTCTTTATGATTAATCTATGTCTTGTAGTTATTGCAACACAATTTAGTGAGACCAAAAGACGTGAAACTGAACGAATGTTAGCTGAACGTAGACGATTTTCGCGTTCATCAAGTACACTAATAAGTGATGAGCCAGGTTCATGCTGGGAAGAAACAATTAAATATTTGGAACGCTTATGGAAACATGGATACAAACATTTAGTTATGCTATGGAAGCGTCATAAAGAAAAACATGCTAAAGTAAATCTATTGTTTGATGTTGTATAGAAACAACAAAATTTCTTAACTTACATTCATTTAATTTCTTTTTTTTAAAGTTTCGTCCAAATCCTTTAAATGCATCAAAAAAACGTCGTCAAAATAAACAAACAACTAGAAATAACAAAAATTCTTCGCTACAAATCCAAATTCATTCAACAGCAAATTCATTACCACTATCTAATCTTAATATTATCCATCGACCCAATTGTCGACTTTATCAACCAACCCATCTATCAACGCCATCGTCAATAAGTCCATATTTAATTAATGCACCATCTGCTAGCCCAGAACTATCTGATATTATTGATTCAACAAAGACACGAAGTCCCAACATCGAACTTCAGAGAATTCTACCTCCAACGCTAACCAATAGTCCAGTGGCATCGTCTCTATCGCCAAAAGTATCAAGAAATCATCGTAAAAAATCTGCTGACATTGTTGGACTTATTTGTCCCGATATAAATATAATACCGCCAGCAAATAATATAGTTGAAAATATATTAATTGAAACAATGAATAAAAAATCCAGTATGCAATTTTGCGAATGTAATTATCAGGATAGTGTCAGCGAAGGAGACGACGATGATGATGATGATGATGATGGTGATGGTGATGGTAATTATATTCGTGAAGAAAATAAACGATCAAAAATAAATCTATTATGTCATAAATATATTTTATCTTATCTAACAAAATTTCGTCAATTAATAACATGTATTGTTGCAAGTAAATTTTTCCGTCGCCTTGTTTTATCATCCATTGTTATAAATACTCTATCAATGGGCATTGAATATCATGGACAACCACCATCTTTAACAAATGCATTGGAATATAGTAATCTAGTATTTACGTCATTATTTGCTATTGAAATGATATTTAAAATTGTTGCCGAAGGTTGTTTAAAATACATTAAAAACGCCTATAATTTATTTGATAGTGCCATTGTTATTATGAGTATTGTTGAATTGCAAGGAAATAAAAACAGTGGTTTATCTGTTTTACGCACATTTCGTTTACTACGTGTATTAAAGCTTGTTCGATTTATGCCAACATTGAGACGACAATTGGTAAGAGAAATTTGTTTTTTTAATTAATTTTTGTTTTTTTATTCATTGAACTAGAAGCGAATGATAATAAAGATATCCAGATTTGCAAATAGATAAAACTGATTAGCCTAATATCGTATTTGCTTCATCGAAGCAGAGTAAAACACAAAAGAAACGAGCAACGCCAGTAATCTTATCAGTTTGCTTTCACTCTGGGGAATGAATTCTTTAGCACTTGTGTGAGCGTATTGTTTTTTATTAGATGAAAGCATATTTAGTAATGAATTTTCCTTTCCCTTTGTTGCATATTGTAAAGAAAAACTAGAATGATTAATTTTCTTATATTTCAAAAGCGATGTTCAATGAATAGCGTAGTTTGAGAAATGAAATTACACAAACTGAATTTGTCAAAGAAAATAAATTTGAATCAAAAACTATCAAATATTCAATCATAATTATAATGAAATTTCTAGACGTAAAGATTTTTAGTATTGCCATATAACCTAGAAATTGAGTGAACACATTTCAGTCTAATAATATTTGTTTTAGTTGATTGAACTACCTAATCTATATATGATAAAATGCAAATTAAATATAATTCAAAACTCCATCGAGAAATGTGAGGGAATAGGAATTTCACTTGGCTGACTATTGATAACACTTATCAGAGACTGAAATCGAATCGATTTGCCAAATAAGTCTATTCGATTCGTCTGGGGCGAATCGAACCGACTCCGAATGGAACTTCGAAACTTCCGAACCGAATCGAATGATACTACTAGAAAAGAGGTCGAAGCGAATCGAATTACAATTTTGAAAAATCAGAAAACCCGAATCGAATCCGAATGGCACTTTTATCATTTGTTTCAGTCTCTCGTACTTATCTCGTGTGAAATTTTTCTATGCTAATTGTCAAAATTAACATACAAACGCATCGTTAACAATTATTAAGTGTGCATATCTAATGGAGAATGGATAACATTTTTTTTGACATTGATTGAAAATTTGCGATGCAATTTCTTTAGTAATTTTGTTGTCTCTCCTGTTAAATCAAACTATGATTTTTTAAAATAACATATTTATTGAATTTGCATTGTACTATTTAGGTTGTCATGCTTAAAACAATGGACAATGTAGCAACGTTCTTTTCTTTATTGATATTATTTATTTTTATCTTCAGGTAAGTTCCAATGAATGCAAAGATTTTGTTTTACATCTTTATTAACTATTAGAAATCTAAGAATATGTGTAAAATAAAATACATGTACATTTTTATATTTGAGCAAAAATGAGCACAAGCAATAACGAATTATTTCAGTTCAATAAAAAAATATAACTCTTTAAACATATTCTCAGATTTCTAATATTCACAATGAAATATCTAAAAATAACGGAAAAAACTTTTTCGTCCAGTATTTTGGGTATGAATCTTTTTGGTTGCAAATTTTGCAAATACACTGAAGTAGCACAAGGCAAGCGTCTCGATTTCCAGTGCTCACGAAAAAACTTCGATTCTCTTTTATGGGCAACTTTAACTGTATTTCAAGTAATTAAAAAAAAGCTACTGTTTCAGTATTTAAAAAAAAAACGGTTTACTATTCGTATATGTCATCAATGGAGTTGCCTTTCTATGTTGTCATTGATGTCTATATGGAAACATGAAAAAGCCATTCACTAAGATAACTATACACACATATTATGAAGAGAAAAGTTTCCCTAAGTTATTTCTTGCGCCATTTTGCTTCCTAAATATGATGCTATGCTTCCAATGTATTTTTGAATTACTGCATCAAATCATTCTCTTTTGTTTTGTTGTGTTTTGTTTTCTTCTTTTCGATAATTAATATATAGTATTCTTGGGATGCATTTATTTGGTGGCGAATTTTGTACATTACAAGCGTTCAATATGACATCACGTGAACAATTCGATATGAAATGTCGTTGTTGTACGTGTATTGAAATGGATTTATTAAAAAATCACACTGAACTCAAAGATTTAATTTGTATACAAGAGAGAGAAAATTTCGATTCATTACATATTGCATTATTAACCGTTTTTCAGGTATCAATTTTATGATACAATCTTGCATACTCAATCAAATCTAGCCCTTTTAGTCACCTTTGATTCTCTTCTTCTTAGCTTTATACATATATATATATATATACATATCTATATATTTATATTTTTACTTGCTTGTCCTCTTGTAACGCACATAAATTTCATCCAGCTTTACATTTTTTTATTCATCTTTAATGGTTTATGTTTTGTTTTGCTTCTTTGTTTTTGGTCCAATTTTGTGTTTAACTTATTTCAATATTTTCAAATAGGTATTGACACAAGAAGATTGGAATGAAGTACTTTATAATGGAATGGATAAAACTAGTGCCTGGGCAGCTTTGTATTTTATTGCATTGATGACGTTTGGAAATTATGTTCTATTTAATTTACTTGTTGCCATTCTTGTTGAAGGGTTTTCCACCGAGGTAAAAATGATTCAGTTTTGTTTTGTTGTTTCACTGTTTCTATTTATATATTATTAAATTTTTAGAAAGGAGGCCCTGGTTCAGAGGTTGGCAGTAGCACTGATCGGTTGGCTAAAGGTGATCCATTTAAAGTAAGATTTTCTTATTTTTTTGTCAAGGAAAATTATCATACTTATATATAAATATAATAGTTAAGTCTAGGAGTGCAGGAAAGGGACGTGATCTTCATCATCACAATACGTTTTTTTAAGTCAAATTAGCAATGACATAAATTCAGCGTTGAGTATTTTCAATAACTCTTCTCCTAAAAAGCTTGTTAGCGCAGCCCCTTTGGGGTTAAAATGTGGAACTCACATATGATTTTTCGCCTAATTTACTTATACATAATGCGTGGTGCGAAATTTGCTGCAAGAAAATCGGTCGGTTGAAAAAAAATGTCTTATTTAATTTTTGCATGCTTGCTAATATTTGTAATGTACGGTGGGGGTCTCTAAGGGGTGTGTAAGGGGGTCTCCAAGCGGGTGTAAGAGGGGTCTTCAAGGGGGTCTCTAAGGGGGTGGGGTCTGTAATGGAGGGTGATGTCTGTAATGGGGACGGGGTGGGGAGCCGCAAAAATCTCGCTTTTAAACTTACACTCACCATTTTCTTCGAAAATATATGTGAGTTCCACAAAATCTATCTTCTAAGAGAATATTATCATATTTTAAATGTAAGTTATTCTAATTATGTATCTTATAATATTAAACAGTAGAAGAAGATTAATAAATAAGAAATTTAGTGATACTTTATAATACTTTCTTTGAATCAATAAATATATTAGCAACGATACAATGTGTTGCCAACTTGTGCTTATGCTTAGTCGTCTGTAATCGATTAGTAAGCTATCAATGAATGTTTCCATTGGGATAAGATTATGCACATAAGCTTAAAAAATGATGACAGCCAAATGTATCTGTAGGTTATTCTTAGAATATCATGTCTTTCTTGACGTTAAGTCAATCTTAATTCATACTGACTTATTCCTTAGCAATACAATCTAATTAATAGAAGGTTTTTCCTGTTAATATTATTTCGTATGGAATAGAAATTTTCTTTTTTTGGGTTTTGACTAGAAGATTCCACAGTATATTTAAAAATTTAATAATCAAGATTAAATTTCTTTATTTTTAATACTAATATAGAACTGTTCGAATTAAACGAAGTCAGATATTTATTTTCAAAAGTTCATAGGCTCCTCGCTTAAGTGTTAAATTAAGATAAGAATCACGATTGAATTCAACATGGCCATAAAAGTATTTCGCTAATATAAAAAAGTCATATTCGAACTAAACTTTCTGTTCTATTTTTAAAAATTTAATTTACATAAGATCTGCTTGCCTTTATTTCTTAACTTGTCATTTAAATTTAAAAAAAAACTGTTTTATTATTGTTGTTTAGACTCAAGTACTGTTCACAGGTGAAATTGAAGCACCAGCAAATCCACATGAATTAATCGCTGATGATGCACCGAGTACTAAAAATAGTACAACTGAAAACAAAGGTTCTCGAATGAAAGGTAGACAATAGTTTTATATAGACAATTTTAAGAAGTTTTTGTTTCCAATTTGTTTTTAGAAGTGAAAATACTCAGTATTCCAAAAATTTCTGTTAGCAATGATTTTGATTCAAATTTACAAATTGTTGCAACACACTCACTACAACTAAATAAAGTTCCAACTCCACCATCACCATATAAATCCATAATAAAGCATCGTTCATCGCAACCACCCACACCCTCATCAACATCAACATCACAAAGTTTTTTTACATGTCCAACACGTGTTGATTCAAATCTTCTGAATGATCCTCTACAAAGATCTTCATCAGCTAAAACATCCAATCAAATACAGATAAAAAAGCAAACTATCGATGAAAATGATACTGAAAATGATGTTTCAGAATTATCTCGTGTAGATAATGCATCAAAAATAAAATCATCGTCGAATGAACAACAATTTCCTCAACGCCGTGGTACGATATCAATCACATCAGGATTACGTTCAAAACATCATTCAAATGAAGCTATACATAAGCGACAATATAGTTTGCGTAAAAATCGCTCATATACAACAGTTGATAATGATACTATTTCAACGTTAAATTTTAATAAATCATCACCAAATTATTTCATTCCACATTTATCAAATTCACCACCACCACCACCATTACCTTATGCAGAGAAAAGTATCCGAGATTCATTAACACAAATAAATCATACACAACGACATAAAGCAAATATTCTTCTACGACGAACAAATTCTTGTCATCCACCATCATCATCGTCAACAACAATATTAAAGCGTTTTATTGTGCATGATGGAAAACTAATAGAACAAGATATACATAATCCACAACCAATCATAAAACGACGATCAACATTGGGTTATCTATCATACTCAGCCACACAAAATGAAACATCTGGAAGTTATAAAACACCGATGCATGAAAATAATGAACAATATATGAAATCTAATACAAATAGTTCCATTCGATTAGTCATAGATACTAATCTCGGTACCCAGTCAATTGTAAATGATCAAAGTGATATGCAATTAAACGTTTCAAAACAAGAGAATGAAACATTTTCCGTAAGTCATATACTATTCAATTGTGCAATCAATTCAAGAATTTTCAGATTTTGCGATCTCTAAACGTGTTCTGAATGATTCTGAGATAAAAAATATTTTTGTACAAATTTACTTCATTTTGAAAAATGATCAAGACGTGAACCATCAATTGTAAATCTCGTTTGGCTTTGTTTCATCAAATCTGTTGATAAATAGTATATTCCGGAAGCATTGACATGAAACTCGATAGAACTGTAAATTTTCTGTCAGGCGATGTGAACATGTCAGTAGATAATATTTTCCTTCCGTCACCGAGTAATTTATTTTAAAAATGTCAATAACCTGAATGTTAAGTTAACATATGCTTTAGTCGATAGAAATTTCATTCAAGATAAATGTAAAATTGATTACAAAAACACGGAAAGAAAGAGCAATACGTTTCTAAACAAAATTATTTTCTAATGGCCAAGTTTCTGCGACCGGTCTACCAATCATAAGAACATATTGATGAGCTTATCACAAGTACCGGAGTCACTCTAAAAGCCAACATTCTAAATTCTTAACTAACTAATGTGATTGGTGGGTGCATGATGCGACATAGTTTTCTGTTGTTGTTGAAACTTTCGCATCTCCTCTTAACAACAAAGTATACTAACTCATTCCTTGTTTATCGCTTCTGTCAAGCTATCAAAAAACTCTACCTAAATGATATGAACCGGAAGTTCTTGAATTCGATGCAGATACTTCTTCAATTATTTTTAAATAAATGTTTGAAATATTTCATTTAGCTGTCTCGAACACTTATCATGCGTTTTTGTGGTGAAAGATTTTATCATTGCATTGAAAAGCGTGATAATTATTCACTTTATCTCTTCTCACCAGAAAATCGGTAACGCGAATTTTAAAGTTTTCGTTTTCTGTTAAAACATAAAACAAAATTTATTTTAATAGGCTCCGCAAAGGATTAAAATGGCTGATCGCAAGAAAACCATTTGATTATTCCGTTCTATTTTTTATTGCTCTTAATTGCATAACACTAGCTATGGAACGTCCATCGATTCCGCCAATAAGTTTTGTATGTTTTGATTATTGAAAGAAAATTAAAACGTCAAAAAATATTTTGCATGCTGTTTAGGAACGTGAATTTTTAAATGTGACAAATTATATATTTACAGTTATATTTTCAATTGAGATGGTGATAAAAATAATAGCAAGTGGACTCATATATGGACCACATACATATTTACATACTGGCTGGAATGTTATGGATGGATTTCTTGTCATTATATCTATTATTGATCTTGCCACAACGCATCGTGGATCGATTTCTGCAACACCCATCAATGGCGATTCTGATGCAACATCACGGATATTTAGCATGCTAAGAGTTTTCCGATTGTTAAGAACATTAAGACCACTAAGAGGTAAGAAGAAAAGAAAACAAAAGATTCATAGGAAGTTTTTCATCAACAATTATAATTCATTTTTTTATAGTCATCAGTCGAGCACCTGGTCTTAAACTTGTTGTTCAAACATTACTTTCATCATTAAGACCTATTGGGCACATTGTTGTTATTTGTTGTACATTTTTTATTATTTTTGGTATTCTTGGAGTTCAGGTATATCAATTATTCACAGTTTCCCTTATGAATGAAGTCGGAGTTCAAGCCTGACTTATTTCTATTGATAGGATATTCATCAACATAAGAGAATTGGAGAATATTGTTATATGTGGCACGATTTCATTCGGAAATAGTTTCCTCTTGTTCAGGACGAAAATCGTAAAGAAAAAATATTAAGAAAATCAAAACTAAACAAAAGGGCTGAATTCTGTTCGAGTCTGATTATGAACAGGATAGACTAATTCGATGATAAAAAGCCTGCTTCATATTCTTCATTCTTTCACTCTTCTCCTTGGATAACTAGACTTTTCGTTTGGAATAGAGTACTTACTTTGGTCACAACAGTTTTTCTTGTCCTAGCAAACTATATAATTTATTATTATCATTTGAATTTGTTTTGTGCTTTTTTATTTTACAGCTTTTCAAAGGAAAATTTTATTATTGTGAAGGTCCATTTACTCGCAATATAACAACAAGACAACAATGTGAAGAGATGTCTAATCATCGTTGGAAAAATCAACAATATAATTTTGATAATTTAGGCCAAGTATAAATTATAATTAGTTATTAATGTTGTCTTCTAATATAGATCATTTGTTTTTTCTTGTAGGCACTACTTGCATTATTTGTGTTAGCATCACGTGATGGTTGGGTACAAATAATGTATAATGGCATTGACGCTGTTGATATTGATATGCAACCGATAAGAAATCATAACGAAGCCAAATTAATATATTTTATATCATTTTTATTACTCGTCGGATTTTTTGTATTAAATATGTTCGTTGGAGTCGTTGTTGAAAATTTTCATAAATGTCGTGCCGAACAAGAACGTGAAGAAAAAGCGCGGCGTACAGCTAAAAGAGCAAAAAAAATTGACCGAAAACGGCGTCGTATGCGTGAAGTACCATATTATGCACATTTTTCACCTTGGAGAAGACGTTTACATGATGTATGTAATAGTAAATATTTCGATCTAATTATTGCTGCTGTCATTGGTCTCAATGTTGTTACAATGTCATTGGAATTTTATTTAATGCCACGGGTAAAAGAATGAAAATTATACAATGAAGCTTTTTCCTTTTTTGATCATTGCCATTTTGTGTTTCAATAGGTCTTCGATTCAGCTCTGGATTATTGTAACTATGTATTTACAAGTGTATTCATAGTCGAATCAATATCGAAAATTGTTGCACTCGGGCCATTGCGTTATTTTAAAGACAAGTAAGAAAAGCAAATAGACGGGGCGTTTTATTTCTAAAAAAAATTAAAACTTAATTTAAGATGGAACCAATTGGATACGATGATTGTGGTTTTATCGATTGGTGGTATTGCTATGGAGAAAATGAAAAATGGACAAGTACTTCCAATTAATCCAACTCTAATTCGTGTTATGAGAGTTCTAAGAATTGCTCGAGGTAAATTAGATATTTTAATTGGAGCATTTCTGTGAAGAGAACAGTCTATGGAAAACAATTTAGTATCTATTGAAACAATTAATATTATTTTGAAAAAATATATGATGTAAATTAGTCGAAATCAACGAAATAGCGAAACAAAAAGACTTGATTCGAATTAATATTAAAGTTTTCGTTGCGACTATTTTAAGTTAATGAATGATAAATCTAGATACTTTTCTTAAGAAGAGCCTTACATTTTTCATATAGCATTAGAGACATTCATGTAGTCTATCGGTTTTCATTTTAATCCTCCTATCTCTATGCTGTTTACTTTTATTTTAGTGCTTAAATTGTTGAAAATGGCAAAGGGTATTCGAGCTTTATTAGATACTGTAATTCAAGCTCTCCCACAAGTCGGAAATTTGGTAAGTAAAGCAAAAAATTCTAGTTTACAGCGATATTTTATGATTTTCATTTTCTGCGGCTAGGGTCTTTTATTCTTTCTTCTTTTCTTCATATTTGCTGCGCTGGGCGTTGAATTATTTGGAAAATTAGAATGCAGTGACCAACACCCGTGTCTTGGCCTTGATAAACATGCACATTTTAAAGATTTTGGTATGGCATTTTTAACATTATTTCGTATTGCAACAGGTGATAATTGGAATGGAATTATGAAAGTATGTGGTTTGAGGAAAAAAATCCTTCTTTGTCTAAATTTATACAAATTTATTTAAAAGGATGCTCTTCGTCAAGATGATTCACCACAGGGCGCTAAAAGCCAATTTATGACGATATTAGCACCAATCTATTTTGTTATCTTTGTTCTTATGGCTCAATTTGTTCTTGTGAATGTTGTTGTCGCTGTATTAATGAAAAAACTTGATGTAAATAAGACGAATAAGTTTGTTGATTTTATCTATTTATTTTCTTTAAAGGAGTCTAATCGTATGGTGGCTGATGATGCAGAAATTGATGAAGAAATTGAAAGGCAATTAGAAGCTGATGCCCATGAAAGAAATTATATTGAACCACAACCACTTGATGATGCAGATCTAAATGTAAGTGAATAGTCTATTTCATTTGTACAAGATAAAAAAGAGTAAATATTGCCAATCCAACTAACGGAAGAAGTCTAGCAGCTAATAAAGTATTTCTGATTCAATACTTACAGAATTATGTCGACTTCAATGAATTCATGCCCTCAATATATTGCTGCGAAGATGTTGCATTTTATGATACTTTTCCAATGAATATCATGATTCCTCGCGGGAACCGTATACAAATTGATTTTAGACTTGGAAGTCTATGTAGAAAAATAATTTGAGGAGAGGATTTCATCATAAACATTTCAGTTCGTTTAATTTGTTTGTCTTCTAAAATAATAATATCTTACCCTGTGATTTTTGTTCTAACCAGCATAACAGATACTCTATTAGCATCATTGATATCTTAGAATAAGAACATTCACAGGAAGTCAATCTAATCAAGGCGCGTCTATATGCAAACTTAGGAAAAACGACTTGCTCATTTTGAAAAATCCTATGAAAGTACGGTATCTTTGCCACTTTCAGAATATTCATAACTCATTTCGGGTTACATAATGTACATTAAAAACAAAGATCTATATCTGTAATAGTTACTTATAGAAAAATTTTCATATAGTAATTAACAAGTTTTCCGTGAGAAATCTGATAATAAATTTCGATTATGAGAACATTTTCCTATATTCAATAAAAACTTATTGTCTATCATCGAAAAATCTTGATGATTATTATAAACAGCAGTCAATCAATCGTTTTGTTTTTAATCTTCATAAAATTTCATAATGAAAAAAAAAAACAAATTTTCCTTGTATATTTCTTTAGTTTCTAAATGATAATACAATGCAAATTTTTCCATTGACGAAACAATTATCTTTACCACCCAATTTTACATTTCATTCCATGAATTCTCCCACAGCACGCCGACCAAAATGTAAGTTAACTTGTTGATTAATTAAAGTCAACGTTTTTTTTTTTCAAACTTTAGTTAAACCAATAGAAATAGTGAGAGGTTCATCCTTATCGTCTGTAGTTGGTTCTCCATCACGTTTCATAAAATTACTAATAGACAAATCTTCGTCAAATGATGTTGAAAAAGATCATTCGTCGAATATTCATTTAAGCACAGAATTTTTATATCGTTCAACATCAATCGTTTCTCATCGTCGTTCAAATACTGTTCCCTCGCGATACCAAAAATCTAATTCAAGAAAAAGATCGATTCGCAAAACATCATATCTTACACCGACATATGAACCTAAAGTAAATATCGAACATCAACTCTCATCTCAACCCTTTTCACCATCGTTATTACCAGCACAGCAAGGACGACATATACGTGCTATCGATGACCCCGATGAAGTAGAGTCACCAAGAAGTAGTATTATCAATCGTAATCTTTAACAATATTTTAACAAATTCCGTCCAAAACCGAAAGAAAAAAATACATATGACAGACAACGGTCTCTGTCAGATAGGCAAAAGAACAGTTTCAATTGTGTTTTCTCATCTAATACTTTTAAGGAAGAGAGCGTCTGATAGATAATATCGAGCAAGACTCCTTTTTCTTTTTCTTTTTCTGTTTCATCATTTCATTCGTTCTGCTGATGAAGGCCTCTCTTGTGCTTTTTCTCTCATTGTGTGTTTGTGTGTCAGTTGCATATCAGTTTTTTCCTTTCTTTTATTTCTCGTCTCTTTTTTAAATAAAAAGAGAGGAAACAGAATTTAATTTTAAATCATTACAAACGAAGGCATGATTGACGAAGTTCTTCATATCGATGACGATCCTAAAAGAAAAAAAATAAAATATGAAAATTTACTGGAAAATAATAATAATTACCGCTTCAGAAACGGATGGAATCATTTTGCTAAAAGCTCGATCTATATGTGATTGATAGACACAGGCATTTTCTATAGATAATGATTTCAAAATATGTTCCGTCATTGCAACTTCAGATGCTTCACGAATTAATGCAGCGAGATCGGCACCACTAAAATGCAAGGTAAAAATTCATAGAAATGATCAGAAAAATCGTCGCATGATAATAGATTCTTAATCGAACAGGACTGCTGTGTTTTTCTGTGTAAAAGATAAAATTCTTGCTACATTTATAATACTAATCAAATATTTATTTGATTATCTTATGATAGGATGTATTCAACTGAAACATGGTAGATTTCAATTTAGAGAATTTCGTGTCTAAATTTGTTTTGAAGAGAACTCTATTGATTACAACATACAAGATCCTAAATAAAATTAGAATTCATCGTATCGTCGGCGATTTTTCATTCAAAAATATTTTGCCTCTTTTACAATGCTCGCCTTGAAAACTTTTCTCATCGGTGTGAAGCTAGCACGATGAAACAGAGATTCAACTATAAGTCTGCTCAGAAGTATTGCCGGCCCGTAGAAACCAGACCATTCGATGCAGAATTTAATTCTGAATCGGACGGCGATACTTTTATTCCCCGGCAATACTTTGAGAAAATTCTATCCGATTTTTCTTGTCCTATTTAGAAGAAAACAAAGGTGTAGGTAAAATTTCTTCCTAAGTATTGCCGGGGAATAAAAGTATCGCCATCCGATCCAGAAATAAATTCTGCATCGAATGGTCTGGTTTTTATGGGCCGGCAATACTTCTGAGAAGACTTATAGTAGAATCTCTGTTGCATCGTGCTAGCTCCGTCGTGCTAGCTTCACACTGATACTTTTCTCTCACAATCGATCTACAAATTTTCTGTATGTACATCAAAAAATAGAAGATTTCATTGACTATTCAAAGCATGGTATAGATTCGAACTAAATGGTTCGTATCATGACAATAACAAACATATTTTCGATCGCTATTGTGCATCGTTTTTGTTACGAAGAAAATAGATAGATGATATGCAAAGAATAATCAACTGTTGCCTAGAATGAAATTTCTTTCCATAAATTGATTAGTATAGCAAGCATAGAATTCCTGACGACTGAAAGATAAATTTATTTTATCATAATAATTCCGAAGGGAAATCTTAGTCTATAATTGTTGTACTTCATAAATATTCCACTTACGTATAACCATGACATCGTTCATCATCACTAATCGCTTCTAAATTAACATCCGATGCTAGTGGCGGTCGAGTACCATTCTAAAAGATAATCATTTTTTTATTTATGCTTGATTTAAATATTCATTTTTACTTTCGTAATTGTTCTAAGAATATCAAATCGACCTTGAGCATTTGGAAGACCAACATAAATATGTTTATCGAGACGACCGGGACGAAGTATAGCCGGATCGAGAATATCTGTTTATCAAAAGAAGAAAAGTCTTCTCTTGTTTCCAATGAAAATAATTCTTTGGTTTTAATTTACCCATTCGATTTGTGGCTGCCATGACATAAACTCGTTTGCTTGTTGTTGTTGTTTGATCAACTCCATCCATTTCCGTTAATAATTGATTAACAACTCGAGCTGTCGAGCCAGTGTCATGAGCTGTACGACGTGGACATAATGCGTCGATTTCATCAAAAAATATTACACATGGATTTGAATCACGTGCTCGTTGAAATACTTGTCGAACAGCTCGCTCACTTTCACCAACGTACTATTGTTTTTTTTTCAAAAGCAAAAATTTAATTTAACATTTAATTGCAAAAAAAAACGAAAATACCATATTTAATAGTTCAGGTCCTTTAACTGATATGAAATTAATGCCAGATTCATTAGCAATAGCTTTAGCTAGTAAAGTTTTACCTGAAATATAGACGAAGATATACGATGAAAAAACACTCCAGATAAATGAAATTTTCAACTAACCACATCCTGGTGGACCGACAAGTAATACACCGGGCGATCGAACAAATCCAAAACGATCATACAAAGTTGGATGACGAATAGATGCCTATAAATATCGATGTAATTATAATAAAGAGCCACTAAAAATCAATGAGATAGTCATCTTACTAGAATAGCCATACTAAGTTCTTCACGAACATCTTTTAATGCACCAATATCATCAAATGTAACATCAGGTACTGTGGCAAAACCTTCTCGTTTACTTGATGGTTGAACACTCTTCAAAGCCATCTATATTAGTTGAATAGAAAATGAAATATAACCAAACAAATCATCACAAGACCTGTTATATATTTACATGAAAATCATTCATTGTAATCGTATATGAATTCAATACAGAAGTTTCAGGCTCACTTTCTGGCTCATGAATTTTTTGTTTTATCCATTCAATCACTGAAACGAAACTTCGTTACAACATCAACGTAAGATATATAAAAACAAATAGTCTACTCGATTGATTAGTATTCAAATCCATGTTCATCTTTCTAAAATAATTTTAATATTAGATCAATTTGGTTTCAATGGCTTTTTACCTATTCAATCCTGCTACTAATGCTTCATCAATCAATGCACTTAAATCAGCGCCAACAAAACCAGGCGTTTTCATTACAACGTCATCGAGATCAAATGTTGCATCAAGGGATGTTAATTTGCGACACATCATAGTTAAAATTCTTGAATGTATTACATAGTAACAGATTTATATTATCGAACTAGAAATCTTACCTTCGCCGTTCAATTTCATTTGGGATACCAAGTGAAATTTCATGATCAAATCGGCCAGCGCGTCTCAGTGCTGGATCAAGTGAATCAGGTCGATTTGTTGAACCAATAATAACAACACGAGTCATTGGTAAACGAGATAATTCTTTAGAGCAAAACTGAAACTATGTTTTGATTCAGTCTAGAAGATTTTAATTTACCATCAAGACATGCTAATAATTGAGTAACGATGCGTCTTTCCATATCTTTCGATGCTGATTCACGCCGTTGTGATATTGCTTCAATCTCATCGATAAATAAAATACATGGAGAGTGACGCTACGAAAACAAAAACGTTTTTCTGTAAAAACAAAAGCAATTATTGACTTTTATTTCTTTTTTTTACTTTAGCTTGTTCGAATAATTTACGAATTTTAAATTCGGAATCACCGGATATGCCAGAAACTAATTCAGTTGATGTTGTTTTTAGGATCGGTAATTTTAATTCCTATACAGAAATAGGAAAATAATAATTGAATAAAAGTATTTCAATCAATTTACTCCAGCGAGTGCTTGAGCTAATAGAGATTTTCCCACACCAGGTGGTCCATGTAAAAGAAATCCACGTGGTGGAGTTTTACCATTTTGAATAAATCCTTCTGGTCGTAATACGAAATAAATTCGACGAATTAAATTCTAAATTTTACTTTATGTGAAAACAATTCTGGTCTATTTAAATACTTTTATACTTCTTTAAAAGAATCAGATGCAGCAAAATGTTCAAATGTTATTGTCGAATATTCAACATCAGGACCTAGTAAGCGTAAATTTAATAAGTTCTACGCATTGTTTGCTCAGTCTCAATAAATATTAAAATTGTGAAAAAGAAAAGCTTATGTGACTACATACTTTCGAGTAGTTGTAGTACTGTTTAAAAATGGAATTATACTCCTGTGATACTACTGTGAAGCTCAAGTAAACAATTACTTCTTAAGCTTCATCGATATGAACATTTTCATACAAAATGTCAGTTTGGAAAACCATTTATAATTGAATTCAAAAAGATAAAATATTGAAGAAATTGAAATAACTCAAAAGATCATCACTCAAGTTCACTATTTCTGAACGTCCCTTCATTCAGCAAAAATCTACTACTTTCAAAAATCTATGCGGCTTATTTTTATGAAAAGAACGACAGAACATCAATTTGAGCCATCATTTATTATAATAGTAGATAGTCTGTTACTTCGTGTATTTATCTTTAATCGTTAAACATTTGATTGATGTTTTCAAATTGTTTCGATCAGACCAATAATATTACATTTTAAATTTGAAAAACAGAAGTTTTCAAGCGTTTACTTCTTCTCACGACATTCAGAAGAAATCTTGTTTTTTACCGTCTATACGATAGATGAAAACCAAGGAACTTTCATAAACGGCTTATTTTCTCCATTGTGATAATAGTAGCATGCCAAATATACTGATCTATTTGAAAAAATCATACTCAAATAAATGTAGTTACAATTGATTCTTTCTATTTTGAAAAATTTGGAATGACTAAAACAACGGTTAGCCTTCTAATATGATTGACTAGAACAGTATAACAAGACTTAACAATACCATCGACATCATTTGTCAATGTTGATTCTGCTGGTCTTTTTCTTTTGACTTTTTTGGCTGATTTTTCAGTTGTTTGCTTTCGTTTTGCTTGTTGTTCTTCTTCAGGTTTTGTTGATGTTTCCATTTGAACGTTCGAGTTTCCTTGCGAAGATGCTCCAATATTACTTGCATAAAGATTAGAGACCATTTGATTCATTGTATTCGGACGCTAAACTAGATCGATGAGATAAGAGTTTCTGAGCGAATTATTTTCTTCGATTCTTACATGAGCACCTTGTTGATCCCATTCATCTTCTGAATCTGATGATCTATAATTCGAATATTGTCTGATAATTAAGTGTTCTTTTATAATCAAACTTACATCTCATCATCTTTTAAATTTTCATTTTTCGCCGATACAAATGAAAGAAATTCATTATCGGCTAATAGAATTTCATAAGCTAGTTTTATTGAGAATAAATAATTTTAAAAAAATTCAAAAATATTAGGTAACCTTTTTCAACAGAACGTGTAAATGGTCGTAATTTTTGCCGTTGATATTCTCTGAACATCAAATTAATATAATAATAATAATTAACACAAACATTCTTTTTTGTCTATTTACCGATATCGATTTTTTAATGCTGGCGCAATTCTCTCTAAGCTCCATCGTATTCTTTTTCCATCTTCAAGTAAAAACTATATAGACAAAACGAAAATGAATTGTGTTAATCAAATGTCATTCTTTCATTATTGGTATCACCTCTTTCAATTGTGCTACTAGAAGATTATTCACCATATATGGTGATGGCATCTAAAATGGAAAAAAAATTAAGCCTAATTGTTTTTCCTTCGGATTAATCGTATAACGTAACGAACTACGATTGAACAACGTAAACTAAAATTATAGATCAACTGAAACAAAAGAACAAAACGAAACGAAAAAAGAAACACAATTTGTTCGTTTTTTTGAATATTCTGATAGATGTGTATATATGTAGTGTTTGGTTTGCTTTGCCTTATGTAAATTCAACATGACTTTCCCAAAAAGAAATAATAGCTTGAGGATATTTTAGATTAGCAATTTTCGATGAAATCCATTGGGTTTGGTTTTCATTAACTAATTTAACACGAAATGAAATTCCATCTTGATTATTTCGTACAGCTTCAACTTTTTCTACTTGATCTGTTTCATCAATTATTTCAGATACATCTTGACTATTTGAATGATTGCCAGCAGAGATCTTTTCATTCATATCACTATTATCAGTATCATTTCGTGTTATAGATATCGATGAAGTTGAATTTGGTGTAATACGAAGAACAATACTTGTTGTTGTTGTTGTTGATTCGTTAATATTATCTTCGTTTATTGAATTTTGCTCTGGAAATTCAATACTATTATTATTAACGTTAATATCATCATCATCAATAGTTGTGATCAAGTGATCATCAATTGTATTTTGTATTTGACAAGTTTTCTTTACTGATTCATTTGTTGACGATTCTACTTCATTAATATCATCCTCCGTTAAACTTTGATTGTTGGCTAAAAAAAACAGATATTTTCAATTTTTCTTTGTGTTCAAACGAATAAATAAACTCTCTCATAGAATATTAGTCAACTCTATCTGAATAAGATCCGAGCAACATTACAACTTATCGAAGAGATTAATTTATTACTTTACGATATTAAGTGTTAACTACTTTGGTATATTTCTAAGTTCTTTCGAATTACATATTCTCTATCGAACAAAAATGTTTCATGACCGAAAAAATGTGTACACGGCAAGATAGACACGTGGCGCCCTTAAAAGAACTAGCGATTCTCGTAAAGGTACATGAAGAGGGATTGCCGCACAAAATTTTCAATTAATTATTTTAATATAAACTTACACATTGAAGTAATACGGAGTTTTGCTTGTTGAACAACCTTTCGGTTTGAATGACGGCGACCTGATGTAGACAAGGAAGTTTTGTTACGTTTACTATTACGTGTAACAATTCGATCAACACCATCATCTTCATTCATATTTGAATCAATACTAATTTCTGTAGGTGCTGATTGATAATTATCATTTTGATGATCTTCATTACAATTCTGCATACTTGTATTTTTTCGTTTTTTCGATACTTTATTATTTTCTAATTTTGATTCGTTGTTTGAACATGATTTTCGTTCATGTTTTTTCTTTTTTATACTGCTTTCAAATTTTTTAACCAAATCTGGACAATTCAAATGATTTTCATCTTCCCACTAAATAAAATGAGATGAAATAATTGAGTACACATTTGTTGGAAAATCATTAGTTGCTGGAATTTTATTTAATGAAGAATGACAATTTCACAAATAAATTATTAGTATTGATTGTTGTTTCTTTTTATTGCTACTCAATTTTAGAAAAATGTTTTAATCAGCATTATTAGAAGGAAGAGAAAAGCGTGCACACATATTCTAATTATCAATTTCACTCAATGATGTGCTAGAATAAATATACCTCTCAGAATTTTCTCGATATAATTGTTAAAGTTCAATGCTATAGTGAAGTTCTGTTTTTAAAGATTCATGATTGAATTTTCTACAAGAATTAAAGTAGCAAAAACTTTTTCTATCAGTACTTCTCATACCAATAAATTATTTCTGTCTTTAAATTTTAAAGAAATAATGATTTTCAATCAACAACTTTGAGATTCTCAAAAAACAAAAATCTAGCAAAATTTGAATAAAAAAAAATCAATGTCAAAATTCGAAGAGAGATTATTTGAACTTTATTAAGTAATATGAACAATGTATTAGATTCTTGAAAAAACTTGAATCACGAATCGTGTTTCAAAAATTTAGAGAATGACAACATTATGCAAGGACACATATTCTAGCACATCCATCAGTATTTGATATCAATAAATCATATCAGTTTTTACACTAGATTAGTAGCTGCTATATCTACTTTTATAAAAAAATAATATTTTGTCTTTCAATTCCAATCCATTGTTAGAACACTATTGCCATAGCACTAAAATCAACTTGAGAATTTGAAACCATATTTCAATGAAAAATTTAATCAGTAATTCTTATGTAGCGAAAAATTTTTAAATCATACGTAATAAAACAAAAATCTCTCTCAATCGAACTACTCATCCTAATCTATTATCATGTTTTTTTCTAGAATCAAATTGCCTACAACAAATATTATATCTGGAAAATAATCAGATAATAGAGATATTTAAACAGCAATATTGGAATCGTCTAGTAAAATATCACAGTAAACTATGAATCATTCGTATTTTGTACAAAATAAAAGCTAGTTAAATACAGCTTAAAATTATACTTACTCGGGTGCTAATCACGAACGCCCCTTTGGCGCGAAAACCTTGGTGCACACTATTTATTCATTATTTCACCACTAAAATACAGCTCTCACTAGGATCAGACTATTTTACTTTTTCTTTTAGAATAGACTTCCAGAATTGCCTATTTTCTAAGATAAAATTGAACAACTATCGTCTAATGTTTCAACAATTTCATAATGATAATCGCGGCGCAGAATACTATTTTCCCGAATTTATTATTTCTATTTTGATTATATCAAAGTCTAATTTTCTAGAGCGTTGAAGAAAATGTATTACTATGATTTTTAGTGAATATCGATTTCTACAGAAAATAATTGTTTTCCAAGAACACACGCATGAAATTTCGCTTATTGAACTGTTGTACTCAAATAAACAAATTTGAACACCTGTACAGAAATGATAAAAAATATGAATTCTCAGTGAAACACACTGTGTCTTAGCAACTAAAATATGAACAAATGCTTTGTGTTGACATTTTTACAGCTTAAGTCATATTAAAAATAAATGTCAAAGATCTTACCGTATTATCTTCATTTGAATAACCTTTCCATTTAAGGAAGTATTCTGTTTTCTTTCCTCGAATTCGTTTATCAAGAATAGCTTCCACTTGATATTCTGCTGCTGATTCATCTTCACTACTTGAGACGGATTCATGTCGACGTTTTGTCGATGATCGATTAACCATTGTTCTTTCTCTAAAATTTTATCTAGAAGAAAAGCAATACAACAAACAAAACTAATTCTGTTTTATCCATCGCAATGCTGATAGTATCGAGGAAATAAAATAACATCTCGAACATTATCAATACCGGTTATAGCCATTAAAAATCTTTCTATTCCTAGACCAAAACCTCCTGTTGGCATTCCACCAAAACGTCTTAAATCAAGATACCATTGTAGATCATGTGTTAAATCGAATTCATCTAAACGTAATTTTAAATTTTCAAAGCGATGTTCTCGAAGACTTCCACCAGATAACTCGCCAATGGATGGAAATATAAAATCAAAATTAGCAACTGTTGCATCATCATCATTAATTGACATATAAAATGGTTTCAACTTTTTTGGATAATTGATTATGAAAAATGCTTGATTGTTCATTATTGTTTGACAAAGATAATTTTCATGCGCACGAGTAAAATCACCGTCGTCAGGAAAATTATGAAAATCAACACTATTTCTTAAATAGTTTACAGCTTCTTCATAACTTATTCTTGGATAATCATTTTGCTGAAGGAATCTATCAATATGTGTTGATTGAATATTATTCTTAATTAGATATTTAAATTCTTCGGAACATTTACTATATATATCAATTGCAAGTGTACGTAAAAGATCAATATAAGCATTAAGTAATTGATCTAGTTTAGTGAAACCTAGAATATAGAAACGACAAATAGAATGAAACTAATGAGAGATAATAATTGTCGTTAGCATCGGCAACAGTTGAAAAATATTTATTTTTAACAGATGACGCCAGAATTCTTTAAATCTTTGCATAAAAACAGTTTCAGATTTGATTCAGTTAAAGTTTATGATCTGAGAATTTCTGAAGCAAAACAAATTCTGGATAAACGACGAATTCATTTTTTTTCTATCTGCACTTCACATATAAACAATGATTTGACACTGGCATGGTAGTTTGTATATACGAATAATAGATAAGATTTTTTTCAGCATTATATACATTTTTTCATTTGTTTCGAATAATATGTGTATATTGATCAGTGCTGAATATATAGATCAATTTTTGGGCTTTTTCTACACACATAGAACTGTTTGATATGAAGAGTTAATGAAGAGTGAAAGAAAACGAAGAAGATAAATGAAAAAATCACTACCTCATTTGATTCTTATCGTTTAATGATTGATAGCATGGCACAGAGATAATAAAAAATCTAATGAAGGATGACTCATCAGAGAGTTTATTTGATAGTATAAAATAAACAGACTAATGAGTTGTAAAGATTTCAATGGAAATGTAAATAAACTCTTCGTGCAAGTGAGATAAATAAAATCATGTTTTCACGATAAGTGTCATTCACTAATTAATAAGAAATTAGTTTTTACTAAAATTTCTAATAGTAAAGAAATAAAACGATGTTTTAATCAAATAAAAATAAGCTAGTCGAGAGAAAAAAGTTTATCATTCGTTAATCGTCTGAATATTGATACTTATTTCGAGCCATAGTTCTAATTTGTACGAAAATAACTTTTCACTTTATCTATGGTTAGCTATGTCAAATTCATGTTCACAGTTTAAAATATAGACTATTGCTTTGTTATGACTGTTACATTTGTATACTATCTATATAACTCAAAATAGCATATTTCAATATCGAGACCATTGAGAACATTAGAAAAAATACAAGAAACCTACACATAACAAAAATAAAACAAGCTAAATTCAGTCTCTTTTATGTATGCTCGAGGACAACCAGTGAATTTAGAAACTTGTATATGGTACAGCCTTTACATTCTGTTCTTGCGCCAATTTCAATAGTTTTCTTTACTTGCAGCGAATAAGCATCTTCAATTGTACGAAACGAATATGAACACTGAAAAACTGCTGATAATTACTGATTATTATGAAAACTTTAATTTGATTTCATCAATAGATTCGATCTCTGATGTATCATCCAAAAGGAAGCGTTACACGACACAGACAAAAAACTTCATTTGTAACTTACAAACGAAATTCAAATAATTGTACGTACCAGCGACTTCCACTTCTAACATCCAAAATTCTGCTAAATGAAATCGACTAAGATTCTTGTCTGCACGAAATGCTGGATTCAGTGTATAGGCACGTCCAAAACCACTAATTTAAAAAAGAAAAATTTCTTAGAAAAAACATTTTTCAAGAAAAAAAAGAAAATAATAAACTTTTCTTTTACTTCGCTGCTGTTTCAAGATGTAATTGTCCTGATACAGTTAAATAAACTTGATCATTAAAATATTCTTTTTCCGCCTGAGTTTTATGCGATTTATATGGTTGAATGCGAAACGTTTCGCCGCCACCTTCACAATCATTTCTTGTTAAACATGGAGTTTGAATTTGAACGAAATTATGTTTATAAAAATATTCATATAAACTAAACATTAATTGACTACGTAAACGAAAAACGACTTGTGCAAGTGGTGAACGTAAACGAAGATGCTCATCTTTACGTAACATTAACAATGTTTGTTCAGCGTTCGGTTTAAATGGATAATTAGATGCGTCAGATGAATTTATTAAACTAATAGTTTCAGCTTGCAATTCAAATTCTTGTTTAGGATGATTACTTTGAACAAATTTGCCTTGTACATTTATTGAACAACCATATGTTAAATGTGGTAAATCTGGATGGTTGTTAAATGATGCAACAACTTGTAAATGTTTTTGATTATTTGTTAATGAACCATCGAATAGATCAAGAAAATAGTGTGTTTTTAATTTTCTTGCATTGAGCAGATAGCCGATTAGATTTATGGATTGATTTAAAGGTTTTTTATCATACACTTCACGTATTGTCAAAGGATAAATTGAATGAGTAAAACGAGATGAATAAATAATTTGTCTTGATGATGGCCGAATATTCAATATGAATGATAAGCGAAACATCAGAAATAAAACAAAAAGAAGGAAAAAAAGTATTCTTTTATTTAAATAGAAACTTTTTGAATGATGATAGTCTAACTGTTGGATAGTGACTATTGTTCATTTTAACGGAAATCTTCGTTAATATATATATTATTATATTGAGATGAACGATAAAATTGAAGGTTTTTTGTTTGAATTATCAGATAATTTGGTAGTCAAATATTTTTAATATGGTAAAGAGTTCTAATTTCACAAGTTTTTACAATTATAAAAGAAAGAAGCTTTCAACTATTTCAAATGTGATTTTTTTAAAGATTAGCTTCTTGATTGGCAACAATTTTTATCAAAAATCGTTTATTCTTAAATAAAAAAGTGAAAAAAAATCATTTTTCATTACCACAAATAGTTTTAGAACCGATATTCTATAGATTTAGCCTATATTAAGTTCAATGCGACTCAAATTCGTTAGTCCATGTTATACATTTGCTAGTTCCATGCACAATGAATAGAAAGCGACTATTAGATGTCCCTAGTTGTCGATGACGTGTTTTACATAGTCACCTTCTTTAATTTTGTTGTTTATCATAGTTTCCGAAATATTGCCCAAGCTCTACAAATAACAGTACGATATTACAATGGAATATCTGCGTATGGGTTCAACAGAATAGATGGAACGTTTTAGTTGAATCAGATTTATTGGATATTTTCTTTCATACGGATAAAGCGAACAAAGACACGTTGCTATTATGAATATAATTTTACTGTTTATGAAGTATGACAAACACATGCAACATTTTCATATATCATTTTAAACTGTCTCCTGAGAGATTATTCGTGAAGTAAACAGATATTATTAGTTTAAAAGCCTTGAAAAACCGATCGATTACTACGAGACAATAATTGATTGAATTTGAACTAATTTAATCTTGAATACTATCGTTTTTAGACTGGTCTCAACATTCTTTCAACCGACAGTGTACACACCGTTTATATTTATTTTTCAGTTCGGCTTATAAGTCCAATGTCATCTATTAGGACTCTGTTTGAATTCGATCTTGTACGTATTGGTTTCATACTAGTTAAATAGGAAAAGTTGAATCCTGAATGATTTCGTCATGTAATCCAATACATTTGTGATCAGTTTAAAATCACCGATTTCGAATTCGAAGTAGTAATAGACACCATAGAAAATTTTTATTTTCTCTATTTTGTTTCTAAACAGCAAAAGCACTTCGATATAATTGTTCTTCCTGGAAATTCTATTTTATTTTAACTAGCATAGTTATTGGCGAGTTATGCTTAGATTTCGAATCGAGCTACCAGAGTTATTTGATTGAAAAATCTATCTATTAGATTTACGATAGTTCTTTTTTTAACCACTTTATTCTTTAGAGCTATTTTAATTTCCTTCCAATAGTATGAATATTTAACCGAATAGAAATCTATAACTTAATTGTTTTGTTTTTCGCTTGGAATAAAATGCCACCTATATTGGTTTTGGATAGAGACACAAAAAATTTCAACATAATCAACGCAAGTCGTATTATCTAAATCTAAAATAACTAGTAAAACAAAAAACATTTATTCAATGCATGAATCAATACAGTAATATCTTTAAAAATCAAACCCATAGTAAATTTATGCTAAATGTTAAAAATACACATAATAGCTTTTATTTTCAATGACAGATCGAAAAAAAAATATATATTAGATACATTTTAAACATTTGTGTTTTTTAAAAGAATGTTCTAATCATGCATATATATATATATGCACATTATTTTTTTCTTTATTGAATATATTCATCATCATCTTTGTCTTGATTTTGTTGTAATTTAGTTTGCGCTGCAAAAAGCTTTTGTTGTAAACTTCGAGCGAAACTATCCACATATGATTTTGATTCATTTGTTAAGAGAGCTTGTAATGACTCATAATAGTTTGTCGATGATTGACTATTATCATCAAAATGATAGCCGACAACTCGATAACCTTCTTGTGTTAATTCAATACAAAACTCCACGTCTGCATTAGATTTAATATTTAAATAGGCTTTTGAAATATCTTCTGGATTATTGAGACGACTGGATAATGTTTTTACAGCAACAATACCATCACCTAAATCATCTAGTGCCAATTGAGCTTCGGCTAAAAAGTCACCCTGTTCACCAGATATTTTATTCATCTTTTTATTTATGTTATGAAATAAATCTTAAAAATAAAAGATAAACATGTTGCTATGAAAAAAAAAACCCAATTTAATTTCTTTTTCGATTACTTCGGATTTCTGTTTTTTTAATGATATTGATGATATCTATAGAGTCTAATTATGATTCATCGAAAAAGTCACTTCCTGCATCATTACAAATACGAACTAATAAGCATCGTTGTTTTATTTTTTGTATTGGACATACTTCATTAACATGTGTACCAGGTATTGGTAAGAAAAATAAGCAATTATTAAATCAATCTGGCATACATGATTTAACAACACTCTATTCAAAGTATCGTTCAATAGATAATATTGAAGATTTTAAACAATGGTTAATGTATGATATCGGCTTTACATCGTATCAAGCAAATATGACAACATGTGGGATTAGTTCGAAATTAGGAGATTTTAAAGACACATATACGGGTTTACTACCAATATGTTGTTCATCAAAAGAAAGACGAAATGAAAAATATAGTTTACTATTGAATCATGGCAATATCAATAAACGATATCGACATATACAATCAACAAATGAGAAAATTAACGAGAGAGAAATAAAAAGACTGAAAATCGAAGAAATCAAATCTGAAAAGCGACTGATAAATTCATTTCATGATCAAATAGGTAAATTTCTATTGAGAATTTACTTTTAGTTGATATTCATCGTTCGTTTCTCTCTCGAAAATAACAAGAAAATCAAAAACTAGTAAATACATCAATTGAACACGAAGCATTTATTTCGGCTACAGTCAACGATTCAGTTAGTGTAAATTTTTCGTATCATTGCAATTTATTTTATGTATCTGAAGATAACTAACAAAGGAGCTCGACCTTCGCCAATAGATGATCAATTGTTTAGTTCTTCTCGCGATCAATCATCGAACAGTACGCCAGAAGAATATTTCTAACTTTCATTGCAATAATAAAAATGATATTATCTTACAGAGTATGAATCTTCTGATAATCAAATATCGCAGCAAACAACTACCGATGTCAGCATTGATTCACAGAAACAAAAATGTCCGTCACTAGAGCAAATATCGCTGTCTCATGAATTTCCCATGGATAATTTATCACTTGAGATTGTTAAATTCAACCCAGCAACAACTAACTTAAAATTAAACAATTCTACATCATCTCAACAATTACACCTAAATTCTATTTTCAATAGCATCGAGCAAACATTATCAATAAAAGAATCACTCAATGTTTCTTCAAAAGTAGATTCTGAGCTGACCAAATTTAAACACAATCGAGATCAAGAACAGATAGTTAGTTATTCATTATTAAAAACGTAGCTATAAATGAAAATTTATCATTCAAAGAATGAAATAACAACAGAAAAATCTTCAATCACTCATAAGTCTACACTTGTAAAAGTCGGTTCAAACCTATTAACCGAATCGCTCATAGAAGAAAACTCTCAAGCGGGTATGTCAACTCAAAACTTGCTCAAGTAACAATATGCCGTACTTTACTGAGGACGATTGCAGACTAATGAAAATGTTATTTCATCATATTTGACTTCTCATAGTGGTAATTTCATTTAATGAACTGATTCATTTCGAGTCAAAATCTTAATAGAAAAACTAGATTTATATATGATTGAGGGAGTAAACTTACAAGACAAGAATTTTCATTGAGTCTGTTTGAGCGTCTAGCTTTTCTTTGCTTTTGAATAGTCTACATTATTTACAGAAAGAAATGAAGAGTTACCGGCAATGGATCACAATAATTTAACTATGTTATGTGAGTCTTCAAGTGACAGTGAAGTAATGATGAATATGATCGATGAGCAGCACACATGAATTCATTTTATTTCATTTTTTTCTACTGAAGGACAAACTTAATGGAATATCTGCTTCAGCTCAAGAGAAGTTGCAATTCACAGTAGAAGTTATACAAGATGAAAAAGATGAACTACTTTCTGCAATAGAAATTTCACCGAATTCAACGTTTAAAAAAAATCTTTCAAGAAAATCGATCCTACGCAGCACACAATCGAATTCATCATCGCACTTCGATACTAGTGTTCTCTTAGCGTCAATTAAACAACAAGAACGTACACAAACTAAATTATTTTCAAAAATAAAATCGTCGATAACTGAGTCGACAAAAACTATAATTAACGATAAAACTAATTTAGGAAAAACTTCAAAATCAACTGAAGTAAACAATAAGAGTATCTCAGCCATTAGACGATCCTATGCTCTACTGCCAGTTTCGACACCAGCCGTAAGAATACTCAAAAAATAAAAATATGTTCTCTAAAGCGATAATTATAGGCACTTCCAATAAAACCAAAATCTATGAAAAAGATCGATAACAAGTTCAACAACATTAGTTTAATCTCTTCAGTGAGTTTTTCTAAAAAATGGCTCAATTAAATTTGAAAAAAAAATGACAAAATTGATCGCAAAACATAGATTTATGTTGCTTTCAGTCTAATAATCCTTCATCAAAAAAAGAAAATGACCTTGATCAAGATGAAGTACTAGCATTCAGTCAAATCATGAATGATACAAATGGGTGCAATAGAAAGTATTCTCTACCCACAAGTAGATCTTATTTCAATCAGACGCTGATCATAAATCTTAAATATTTTACAGCCAAATTAATAAGTTCAACAGTAAACCTATCGAGTGTAATGTCCGACAATAAACCACAAGAACATAGGATTCAAAATTTTGAAGAAGAAATTGAAAAAATGATCTCTCACATAATGAACCAAGCTTTACAGATTGCTCACGAAGCTAGAAAATCGTCAGAACTTCACAGGCCGCCATTTGTGATTCAAAGTTACAATGAGCAAGTACAATCTACAATATTATCACCAATGGTCAAATCGAAAAGTAAAGATAGTCGATGTCTCGCATTACTAGAACAAGATAGTATTGTAAGAAACGCAACTTCTCAAATTCGAATAGATCAATATCAAAATAATACAACAAACATCAAAGAAAATTCTTCTGACAACTCCAAGCCTAAACATATTCAACAAGATTATAGCAATATACTTTCCACGGTGAATCCCATGTCACTATCAAATACAGGTTCTTAAAATGTCTATGAAACGGTATCAACTTATCTCTATATTATTCTACGTTAACAATAGGAAACATATTAAATGAAATATCTTCTCCGAAGATCAACTCACAATCGTTAGTAACGGATCAAAAATTGAATAATCAGCATCAACAAGAACACGAAATCGATCTAACAACAATGCCAACCGATGGCTTTCCAACGACGAATGTGTCTAAACACAATCCTGTGATCGAGTTTGATTCATTTTCTGTCTCTAATAAAGAGTGTTCTTTATCTAAGTGCTGTAATCATATAACAAAACCGAATTCTTTTAACGGATAAATAGAAAATGATTTCTTTCTAGCGATTGCAGGAACAGAAAAACTCTCAGAACCAATGAAAATATCATCATCACCACTCTGTAATTTACTAGTTAATTTCAAAATCATTCCATGTCACTTATTCTAGCATCGTCTGATTCTATGCATTCAATAAATCGAATTAACGCAGCCATAGATAAAATACAATATCATTCCAACCTTGGTAACTGTTTCGAAAAAGTTAAAACAAACAAGAATTCTCAGAATTTATGTTTTACTTCATCGGAAATATTCGATAATACCATCGCATCATCGAATATTATACAATGTTCAAAAGAATTCAGTAATGCAGCAGTGATTCCGCCTTGTCACACGAGTCGATTACCAACATTACAAAATATAAAAGAAAATGAATCCATGAAGAAAAATCTATCTGAAATCATTAATAGAAATGAAAAATTCGAATCTAAAAATCAAATATCTAGTCCAGTAATTCCAAGTCCTTGCATTTCTCTTTGGGAAAATATATCAAATGAAAAAATTCAACCTCAAAACAAGAATTATCATTTTACTTTCATAGACATACATCAAGAAGATCAAAGTAAATTTTTCCTTTTTTTCTCGTTGAACTATTCGCAAACAGAATGATTTTTGTTAAAGAAAGAAATTCCACTAACCATAATCAAAATTCTTATTCATCAAATGCATTATTTACATTTATTACGCGTCAACAATATTTAAAAGAGCGACAAATACTGAATGAGCACATTTTATATAATAGACGAACGAAACCTTCTTAGAAATCATAAAAATGAACAAAAATTTATTTGTATACGATATATCTTGATGGCCAAAAAAAGTTCAATATTTTTAGAATAAAAGTTTTTTGAGCCAATCATTTGTTTTCTTTCTTCTACGGCACTATGAATGACCTCTATCGATAGAAACGAGAGTATAGTGGTTCTTCCTAGACACAAACTTTGACAATGAACTATACATTTAATATTGAGTGAAACACAACTTTCTTTTCACAGTTTAAATATTATTTTCATCTCATAACCATGGTATGTTGAATTTCTAAAATCTTTTCGATTTCGAAATACATAAGTTGATAATGAAATATTATATTAGGCACCGAAAAAAGGCAAGAAAAAGAAATCACCCAAAGCACCAACCATCATCGATGGACGACCCGCTGCTGAGGTTTGCCTCATCTGATTTTATATCTAGATATGTATTGATCTTTATTATTATCTTAGATGAACAAAGAAGAATTAGAAGAACATTTAGGTCGTATACGTGAAGAGCTCGATCGTGAACGTGAAGAAAGAAATTATTTTCAACTTGAACGTGACCGTATAAGTACATTTTGGGAAATAACAAAACGACAGCTTGACGAGAAAAAAGCAGAATTACGTAATAAAGACCGAGAGTTAGAAGATGCAGAAGAACAACATCAAGCTGAAATTAAAGTAAGTTCAACATAAAAGTTTAGATTGTTTCAGAGAAAAATATTGACATCTATCATGACTACAAAGAACTAGAAGACATACAAGTTTGCTTTTATTTGAGCCTTGACATCAGCACGTTTTGTCAAGACATACGTCATGGTTTCATTAAGCATATAAGCACTCTGATTACACAAATATTGATTATGTCTTTATGCACACGACTAATTTAGTAAAAAGAGAATGGAATGATTGCATTTCATGATATAGCTATTCTTCTCTGATTTTCAGAATGTACCCAACTTCAGTTAGAAAAAAAACTTTTTTTGGTTTACCAATATCTGGTTTTAGTTTGAAAAATAAATAATAATGCTACAGTCAAAATACTCATTTATTGTGATGTTTCTATTCACAGATAGGTTGGAGTCTTTTTAGTATTTTGACTTTAGTATCGCCATTGATTGGCCTTGTGAATGTTCTATATTGAACTCAAATAATCAACGCAGATAATTTCAAAAACTATCATAGAATAAAGACGTCGTCACGAACCTTTAGCTTTTTCAGTGAACCATCTACACTACACTATGATATGAATCATCAATGGATCATAGTCTCAATAACGTGCAACATTTCAAATAAATCTTTCCAACGGAGCTAACATCGCATAAGTGGGCTGATTTTGAGTTCATCTGTACCAAGGAAAGAAACTTTCTTAAGATAAAACAAACGTTTTTATTTGAAATACAAAGCGGATTGAATGAATTTTAGCTTGTAGCAGCATATGTTTTGACGAAATAATTTATTTAAAACTGTTGTTTCCATACAGGTTTATAAACAAAAAGTGAAACATTTGCTTTATGAACAACAAAATAATATCGCCGAATTGAAAGCTGAAACGATTGCTGAATTGAAAGTGGCTCAAGAAACGCATAATGAGGCTGAAAATACTATGTGGAAGGAAAAACGGGAACTGAAAGTAAACATGAAAGATCAAGAATTAGCTCAACAAGAAGTTGTACGAAATTTGAAAAAGGTTTGACTGAAATATTTTTGTCGTGTTTTTCTTTAAAAATAATTTATCTTTTCTTAGACTAATGAATCATACGTTTCAAAATTACGCGACGATTTTCTTCGTGAAGCTCGTGAAATTGAAGAAAAATATGAAAAGAAATTACGCGATTTACGTGAAGAAATGGAATTACGTCGTAAAACTGAAATCCATGAAATCGAAGAACGAAAAAATCAACAAATTAATGATCTTTTACGTAATCATGAAAAAGCGTTCAGTGACATTAAAAATTATTATAATGATATCACACTAAATAATCTTAATTTAATCAATACACTTAAGGTAAACTTCATGAAGTTTCCTCGAAATAAATATGTACGGTCTATTGTGTTTCTTTTCTTTTCTTTTTTATGATTATCTAGAATGAAATCGAAAAGAAAAAACAAGAAGAGGAACGATTAGAAAAACGTATGGCAGAACTTGAAAATGAAAATCGAAAGATGCGTGAACCACTTGAAGCTGCGAAAAAAGAAACTGAAGAATTAAGACGACGAGCTGAAAATTATGAAAAGATTAAAAGTTTATATGAAGTATGTAGTTTGTTTTGCTTTCTTTTTTCATCGTCATATAAAATATATCGAATAATTTTAAGAGTAAAAAAAATCAAATGAAAAATTGTGAAAGCGATTTAAAAAATTCAAAATGGGAATATGAAGTTTTATTGCAACGTTTTGAAATCGTATGTAGTGTTTTTGTGTTAGTTCGTATTTAAAACTTTTCTATTTTAATTATCTAGATTCAAAAAGAGCGGGATGATCTTTACAATAAATTTATCAAAGCTATTAATGAAGTTCAACAAAAGAGCAGCCTGAAGAATTTATTATTAGAAAAGAAATTATCAACATTGGCTGATAGTCTTGAAAAGAAAGAAGCTCAATTAAATGAAGTCTTATCGGCATCGAACCTGGACCCAGCATCATTATCAGTTGTTACTCGGAAACTTGAAGTAAACATTATTTTTTCTTTTTACCGTATTTAAATTACTATTTGCATGTTTTTTTTTACTCTATTCTAGGAAGTACTCGACGCTAAAAATACATCGGTAAGTGTTCTCATATTTACGTCGGTTATAAGGCGTATGAATAATCACCGAGAGATTTTCAAAAACGAAATTTGATATATACACATATATAAAAGTTAGATACATTACTTATTCTATAAGATAAAGTTTGATTAAGATTATGAAGAATGAATTTGTTTTTAATACATATTTCATGTTTATCATGTGCTAATGTTAATAGAATGTGCTCCTACATAATTGAGAGGATGCGCAGTCGTTTTTCACTATCTATGTTTAATTCTGTAAAAATATACTTCACAACTGATTTTCTTTTACTAAAGAGTGAGCCGAGAGAGAGCAGTACATTTCATCTAGAATTGGACTAATCGAATTATTTCAAACACTATTGAAATAGCAACGAGCAAAATTGTATCTTCTTCATACCTTGAATTCATCTAAAATCCGAATCATCTATGATTGAATTACGAGCTCGTGATGAGAATGTCTAAAGAAAAAGGCTTGATATCTATTTTATTTCGTATAGATTCGTGACTTACAATATGAATTGGCCCGTGTTTGCAAAGCTCATAATGATATATTAAGAACATACGAAGCTAAATTACGCCAATTCGGTATTCCAATTGAAGAAATTGGTTTCAAACCATTGGAAAGTACAGTGGCTGGTCAACAATTAGGTCGAGGCGTCGCCGGTTTGGTAACAAGTCCACCATGATAAGACGGATTCTAGTGAAATGTTGTAAATTTTATTTCTATTTACCACAATTCTTTCTTTTTTGAGCTCCTCCGCTTTGATTTATTTTTTAATACAAAAAATAAAATCAATATTAATTATAGAAACAATGCAGCTCAATTAAAGAACAGCTGGTTGATACAAACAAAATAATTATTTGTGTAACAGACGTAAAATACCAATAGGAAGCAAATAGAAAATGATAGAGAACCACGAAGTCTATATTTCATGGTTAGTTGATGAAAGTGAATTAGAAAATAACAGATCCTTTCCATCAAAACTCACTAATTATGTGACCTCGATTATCAAAAGACTGCAGACTATATTCAAGCAATGATACCGTTGTTTTCAAAAAGAAACTCGGTAGCTTATTTTCATTTATGAACTGAAATCAATTTCGCGGATAGAACAAAATACTGAATAAAGACTAATAGATGTTGCCGAAAAAGATGAATCTATGATGAAATAAATTATGGTGTGGACATTTTGCTTTCTTTCCAACCAAACACATTGCCGAAGGAGACAAAGATCAAGGTGCGCTATTGTTCAAAATCAAATGACAGAAGGTTATACTCGCTGCCAGCATACTTATGTTTAACATCCTTTGAGTCTAAAAAACGTTCTATCTTGACAAAAAAGAAACTAGAGAAATATTAAATCACTTTTATTTTCATACTCAAAACTTATGTTGATTATTTCCTTGGGACTCGGAGGCGGTGAAACCATCATGAATAGTACAATCAGAGTTTATATAGTCCATATATTGTATCACTGTACTTCTTTCCATCATTTTGATCAGCTGCCACTAATGACTACTCAATGGAGATGAATAATCAATGTTTTAAAGTCGTCTGTAGGGCCCTTGTATGCCCGTAGGCGAACATAATTATTATTTTCTACTGTGACTTTTGAATTTTTCTTTTTGAAGCAATTGAAGCATGTTTTCTACAAAATAGTAAGAAACAAATAAATGCAGTTGCTAACAGTCACACAGTTGATGCCGTTACGTCGCAAATATCATAAATTCATTTTGCTGGCCATATTAATATACGTTGTTCAATACCAATTTGTATTAGTTTATCCTTTTTATTCATGTCGATATTCATCGTATAAATCCGAGAAGAAACGTCCAGCCTCTATCTAACGAAACGAAACGTCAAATAGCGTCGCTTTATTGAATAGAAGCATCGATAAACTGCGATTTACTAAAAACCTGAATTTTTACCCTGGTAATGGAAGCCGATAACTGAACTGATTAAACCGATGGTTCTTCTCCTGTTTTTCACACATATCCATCTACTGAATCGAATAGAAATTTCAAGTGTATCAATTAGAAATCTGTTCAAACGTATTCTATCCACGTGTAGCCATCTGTATAGAAATTTCTTTAAGACACAGGATCAAGAACATCCTTAAGATTTTTATTTCAGAATAGAAGACTTTCAAAAGTTGCAGCAACAGTCGCTCTAGTCACTGCCGCTGCTAGAGTTATCTTTTCACCTGTTCTTTGTCGATCTCGATACAAAAACCGTGACTTTATTTTTAACTCAGGAAAAAATAAGTTCAATACTTAGACAAAATGACTTTCATGTTCTAGTCGTTTTATCATGGAAGAAAACATTTCATATTTGGTACCTATGTTGCAATTTAGACACTCTGAATAATTATGTAAAATTATATAGCATATCAAAAAATTATCATCAATATTCTTGAAAAATAATGACTATCTCTAACAAATTACTATCATCTATCAACATTTATTTTCAATTAAAATAAAACGTCTCTTAGGAGAAAATATATCATAAGTCGTTTACTTAAATATTCCAGCTATTTGCCATCAGTTTTAATTTGTAGTTCAGTATCTTGTTGGATTATAAATTGCTATAGATAGTTTTCACGTGCACTTTTTTTAAACATCATCGGCTGAATAAAAATAAAATGACTGAACAAATCGAAGTAATTGAAGACAATCCAAGAAGTGAATAAGTTATTTCATAACAAGGCATACGAATACTTTTTATTTTTAAAAAATCGGAAATGTATCGTCTAGCCTCGTATTGATCAGACAAAATACAAATATCTCCGTTCACAATTTAGTCACACAAAAAATAAGTTAATATCATGTAAAGAAAACTAATAATTATTGTTATTCACTGTTCTAATTTGAATTGAAAGCTTAGAACTGATAGTAGGATTAAATTTCTAAATAAATAATCATTCAACTGTAAATATTATTCTATTGTTTGTTAATAATCATCTGTTTTTATAGTTCTTCACTTCTGAAAATGCTGATTATGCAGTAGGGTATCATTGCAATTAATTAAATTGTTACACCAATTGCGTGAAATTTTGTCCTACAAAAAAAAAGTAAAAGAAAAACTTGTTAAAACTCTTTTCTGCCAGTCTTAGATGTGACAACTAGAAAATTTGTATCTAAATATAGCTATTTAAGATTCTCTTTTGGCATACTAACCGGTAATGATAGAAATAAAGAAAGTAAATTGAAAAATTTACTCTAAATAATAATAATGCATCATTAATAAGAATTATCTCTGCCAGGAACTACTATCGAGTAGAAATTCAAAAAGAAAACTTTAGAAGAAAAAGAAAAAAAAATCAATTTTAGATCCATTTATTAATCATAGATAAGTTCGATATTCATTTATGATATTTTTCGCTCAATAACACATCTTTTAATCATCACAGTTCATTTAAAGAAGTTTTTCCAAAAAAGAACATAGAGCGCTTTTAGTAGCACTCGAATGTTTGTTTGATAAAAACTATGACTTGAACAATATGATTTTCATTATTTGATTTCAACAATATAAAATTCTATTAGACGCAAAACTTTCCAAATTAATTATCTCCTTTATTTACTTACGTATTTCAATGGAGGAAATAGAATTCATCACCGATTGATTTTTTTTTCTATTGATCAACAGCATGCAAACAACTGACTGTTGTTATTTTTAGCAAAAATTGAACGATCTTTAACACGATTTTGATATTATATATACTGGTTTATCTCATTATCGAAAAACAAATATTGAAACAAAAGTTTGTAAAATTACAGTACAAAATAATGATAATCTGAAGTCCATAAAATTGATTAATTTCAAGTGGATAATAAAACATAGATGTATATTTCGCGTCCGATCTTTTAGATTTGATCTAAGTTGTTACTATTTCTGTACGCTTTATTGATTAGCTCAATCTTGACGAAGAAGAAATAGCCGGTCTTCTATTTCCAATAGAACAAATGTTTCTCATTAAACTTGATCGATAGTAGTGTTACCTATATTCGCTATGTGATAATAACTTTCAAAAGCATATCCTGGTATAATGAAATAAATCTTTCAGAGACAGAAATACATTAACTGATTTGTTTGACTATAAATAAAACTGAACAATTATTTATCTCGTTTCATATAACTGGAATATTTTCCTATTGTTCCAGAAAAATAAATATTGCACTTTATATGTGAACCAGAGCATTATTAATAGAAAGAAAAACAATTTCCCAATGGAAAACAAACTTGTATATCCCTTTATTACCTAAATAAACATCTGAAATTTAATGCAAATTCTTCAAAAAAAAAGTCAATTTATACTTACTAAAAATATAGTTTGAAAACAACCCACTAATTTTATTATAGATACCAGATGACGGTACATTCACCATCTAAATTTCCATGCTATTAAATAGCATTGGCAATAATGTTGCTACTGTGTCTATATTTATAGTTTAAAAACAAAAAAAAAAGGTTCTCTTGACTTCATATCAGCTAAAATATTTGTCATGCATTTTCTCTATTTACAATGTCTTGCTGTATTGTTGTAACTAAAATTTTCCTCGTCTCACAAGACATTGTAGATGGAGAATAGTAAGTCGAAGTTTTTGAAAAATTTCCCTGAAACTTCTTTCGTTGTTTGTTAAAATATTTATCATACTGCATATTTTCATTCTACTGATAGTCATCTCATATTAGTAATAAACAAAATGATTAATCGAGTTACTTCCGAAATAACTATGAGGTAATAGCATAGATTTAACTTATTCATATAAAAAAAACATTGCCTGTTGTAATTAGAGCTCGTTTTATATTGGATATCGGATATCGATATAACTTAATGAATACATTTATCATTTTTTTTTTAACTTTAACTTTTAATATTATTATTGAATAGCTCCTTTTTTAGCTATCTACTCGACTCGATATAGTCATACGGTGGTGTAAATACGCATGTCTATATTTTCTTTCGTTCTTTCTTTCTCTTTTCATGGCTTCAATCATATGACCATTCGATCATTGTGAAGATCAGTTGGTGCACCTTTATCGTTTCTTTTACTGATAAATATTATCATCAATATTTTGAGTGAGTAAAAATTTCTAATAGTAGCAATCATAGCAGTCAACGCAATCTTTTCCAAAAAAAAAGTGAAATTTAGTCCTGTTATTGATGTTTTCATTGCGTCATAAATATACCAACACGTTTTCTTTTGTGTATCTTGCATGACAACGGAATATAAAATTGGGAAACAATTGTACACAAACCCATGATCACGTATAACTTCAGTAGAAATAGTTACAGTTACAAAATGAAGAGTTTATTTTATGCTTCTTTTTTAGTATACTGTACCGTTTTATTTTCGAGCCGTGTCATATTACCCTGCTGATAAGTTTATGTATGAACGTTTAGTGTATCCAACGAATTTGTCTACTACTTGAATTATCAACATGTCTACATTTATTTCAAATGAGTTCTATTTTCACTGTTTTCGCAAATTTTTGTTATTCTTTCTTAATAAAGCATGAAATGATTACGATTGATTTCGTAGTGGAATCTATAATGAGGAAAAACCAAAAAAACTGATTCCAATGACATCTTTCTTCAGTCAATGATTGGCCATAAGGAAAAGCTTATAATAATTTCATCCTATTTTATTTTTATAATTTTTGAGATATGAAGTACAGAAACTATATGGCCTCTGTAGTATTTCGCTCTAAAATGAGAAATTAAAGTATTTCTCTAGTAGTGTTTTATCAAGATATACCAATCGTATTTGTTCTTTAAATGAACAATAATCGTGTAAGATGACGTCCCTTTGCGTCCATTCTTCACAGAAGTGAGTGAATCGATTTACTTAAGTGTCAAAACAAAACAGCAACTATTTTGAAATATTTCATAAATAATTTTTCATTCGTGCTTTTTTTACCTTAGTTTTCACCTGCAAAAAATACTGAACACAACATTTTAAAATCACTCGATTGCTATACTCATATGTTGTCAGTGCTATTAGTGCGGCGCGTAAACAAATTATACAGCTCTATGGTGCATGCATATACCTTCGCTTTTTAAAATAATGTAAAGTAGTAAATTGTAAATAGTTATTCATTCCTTAAGTACGTCATCGAATGATATGTAAAATATTTTCCAACAAAGAGAAAAAAACAACGACTATTACTAATCTATATTTTTTTCGCACATTTTTTGAATTTATGTTTTAGTTTTTTCTATTTAAAAAATCTTGCAATAAAATGTCAACAGCAAGCACTGATAGTAGTGGATCAAATCCTGGTCTTAATCAGATCCTTTCACAATTACCAACAGATCACCACAATAATGCAGTTGGAGTTACAGAAAGCCATGTAAATCCATCACTCACCAATCGAATACCAACAAATGACAGCACATGGATAAATAAATTCTATAGTCTTGATCGTTTATTTTCTGGTGGTTTACTTCATTGTTCATATCGTATTATTGACATAGCATTGTTATTGGTTGGTTTAATTTCAAATAAACCAAAATGTAATCTATCAAATCATTTAGCTGTAACAGCAATATGTTTACTAATATTTTATTTTATTGATTTAATAATAATTGCTATTTTCTTCATACGAAATATGACACAACGTAATTCAAGTTTAAGTGAAGAACAAAAATTAGAACAATTACGGCGCGCATCAATAGTACGTGGTTTTTTTATGTTCTTTAAAATTATTCCAGTATGTTTCGGTACGGGTTATTCATTTTCATCATCGTTGCCAGATTCAAATGACTGTGAGTTAATGCGTTTCTGTCTTGGTGTCGTTTGTCTAAGCACATGGCTAATTATACTCATCCCACCAACAAAACCAGAACTACCGATACGACGTACATTGCTTGCTGAATGCTTTATTCTTTCATTTGTTTTAATAATTAATTGTTCATATATTGGTACAGTGGCCAATGCAATTTCAAATGTTCATAATTCATCATGTATCTATAATAATGCTGAAGATTTATATTTAGGTGCACCATTGAAATCATATGCATTTGCGGGATTATTACTATTTTCTTGTGCAACATTGATTCATATAATCAATTTAATAATAAATCAAATATATTTTCGTTTAAATCGTCAAAGACAATTTTATGTGTATTATTATGGATTACAATATTTTTTAAATTATTCTGGAGCAATTATTGTTATTTATTACTTTTCCATAGGAGGTTTATTTCTATTTCAACCACGTTCGGGTCAGACATGTCGGCAATATGCACCAGATTTATATAAAATATTATTAATCTGGGAATGGATAAGAATACTATCTCCATTATTTGTTGTACCGTTGCTGATGATACTCTGTTGTTTAGGAGTATTTTTTGGTATTATTTTAAGTTATTGTTTACCAGCATCGATTACTGTACCCATTCTTGAATTACTTCAAGTAAGTTTTCAGAAAACTTGTTCGATTGAAATATTTATGTTTTTTTATTCTTTATTTTGTTTCAGGAATGGCGATCAGCTGCACCAATGGCAATGAATCCAAATCCACCAGCTACACAGGAAAACATTGATTCTGTACCTATAGTTTTATTCAGTCAAGAATCTAATCAATTCAATCAAACTGATTGGTAAATATGTCAAGTTTTAATTAAGAAGAAAATTGCTACATTTAAGTAAACAAAAGAAATAGATTTTGTAGCTATTTGCTATTTCTACCGTCGACAAAACCGTATTATAGTTTTCTAAATTCATTTTTTATAGCAATTTGAATGAAAATTTAAAATGTTCACTATTATTTATTTCACAAGAATTTTTCTTTTTTTTTCTAGTGCTATATGTCGAACTGATTTTGAATCAAATGAAGAATTAAAAAAACTGCATTGTGGACATTTATTTCATCCTGAATGTGTTGCTAATTGGTTACGAATAACACGCATTTGTCCAATATGTCGTCAACGGATGTCACTAACAAATCCTTAGTGTTTTACATTATACAACAGCACATTTATATTTATATTAATATATGTATACACTTTATTCCTGTTTATTTACTTTTTTATTTTTTTTTATTTAAAAAAATAATTTACAGTCGGTGGTAATCCATTTTTATAGCGTTCGTCTGTTTGCATTTCGAAACTTATAATTCTTATACATGAAAATAAATTTTAAATTTACAACAGTTTCAAGCATAATTTAAGTAGTTATGGCCAGTTTTATCTATCTTTTGTAATACCGAACGCCATACGACCATTATCGTAATCGAGACAAAATAATAACTTTGCTAACTGTTGTATTCAACAGTAGAAGTTGTTTTGTAACGTCTACTGAACAGTGTTCTAATCGACAGAATAGTGTTTATGTCTACGGCCATCTTTCTCTTTTACTATTTGTTCTGATAAAACACAGTCCAGTAGAAGAAGACTGAATGAATAAATATAGAATTGTCAATATTAGCTAGTTGATGTAATGCTACATGATAGAACAGATGCGTAGTCATCGAAGTAAAAGATGATAGTCAATATAAATTTAAAATGGGTTTGAAATTATCGTCGTTATGTTCGAAAAACAAGACTAAAAAACAAGGGAAAAAACATTCTACAAAAACGGTACAGGTGAAAATGATAAATTGTTAGATAAATTGAAAAATTTATTTCTAGAAAACATACAATGTTCGAAACAATGAGAAATCCTTGAATGCATCAACACCATTAATAAGAAATGAAGAATCACAAGATTTACTGACAACTAGTGATCGTGTACTCAACGAACCGATTCATATGCATTCAGAGCTTGATGAAGAACCATATCAACTGTCATCTTCTTTCGACAGCTATTCGAATCAGTATGAGAATGGTACGGTTGCAGTAATTTCACGAGAGCCTATGAAGCAATGTCTCATCATTCGTATTTAATATTTTTCATTTTTCGAATGTATTTATTAAAAACAAACAACTGATCAATAAGAATTTATATTATTCATTTGACATTTAATCGTGCTCTTTTCATACGTTCACTTTGGATGAAATAAAATTAGTATTAGCTTCATTTTGACATTTTATTTCAATTGAATTTTAAATTTCACTCGTTAACTACTTGAATGTATTGCATATGATATTTTCTAATGACTAGATTGAACGAAATATATGAGAAATCAAGCAATTTAGTTAAAATATATTTCAGAAATTGATATTTAGCAATATATATCAAAATCAGTTTATTAAATAGAAATCTGTCATATTTTATAAATGGTTTAGTCGATTGAGCGTTGGCGTACTTTCTTATCACAATGAAATTTTTTGCAATATTAGTTTCTTCAAGCAAAACGTTTTCACTCAAATTCCCGTGTAGATTAAAATATCGAGAAATTGAAATTGACTTTTCAATAGAATTAATTAAACCCTTTTTTTTTTATAGAGTCGCTTTAATTTTCTTTTTGAAGTTCTATATATTACATTACAAACATGATTCGTTACCTCGAATGAATATTACTGATGTCATTGAGAACCTTGCTGATTTCAACAGAAAAAAGTTTTACTGAACAAAAAACAATGCAACGTATCTACTAAACTGGCTAACTTCACTTTTGAGGAGTATATTTATATTATATTTCATAAAAACACGGAGTTAATGAAATAAAATATCAGAACAGAAAGAAATTGGATTAGAGCACTAAAAACGCTGAACGAATGCAATGATTTATTTCTCGTATACTTTGATTATCTTTATTTCTATGTTTATCACAACACTATAATTCTGTTGAATCAACGGTATAAAATCGATTCTAACTAACAAACAGTGTTTGATGGTATTCGATGATAAAATGCATGAGGAATGTTTTGCAATCAGTCATCAAATATGGGCTTATTGGCTGGCCGAAACGGTGGATTAACGAAACGTCGACGATTGGTTTGAGTCAAATGATCAATTTCTCGCATTTCATGATCTGATAATACAAAATCGAATACTCCCGAATTTTCAATTAATCTTTCTTGTGTCACAGTTTTTGGTATAACAGAAAGACCATTCTGTAGATGCCATCGAATAATAATTTGTGCTGTGGTTTTATGTTTTGATTGAGCTATTTCTTGAATAACTGCATTATATAATGCTGATACGTCTTCAGCACGTTCGTTTTCACGTTTCAAATTCGACAATGGACAATAACTGGTTATTGCAATATTGTGATGGGCACAATATTCACGAAGTTCATGTTGATTGAAATATGGGTGAAGTTCAATTTGATTTACACTTGGTTTTATACGAGCTATTTTAAGTATTTCATCGATTTCTGATGGATTAAAATTTGATACACCTATTGAACGTGTTAATTTTAAATCAACTAATTTTTCCATAGCTTTCCATGTATCAACTAGTGTAACATTTTCAGCAAAATAGCGTGTTTTTTCATCTTCACTTTGTGACCAAAGATTTTCAGTCATATTTTTAAATGCAACTGGCCAATGAATAAGAAAAAGATCAACATAATCTAAACGAAGTTTTTTTAAACTATCACGTAAAGCCCATTCAACATCTTCAGTTGTATGATGCTAAAATAATAATCATAAGACAACAATAATTTATTAGAAAATCAAAATTATTTTCTTTTTACTTGATTCCATAATTTAGTTGTAACAAATATATCTTCACGTTTAATTTTCCCTTGACTTTGTTCGATGGCTGCATGTATACCGTTGCCAACTTCATCTTCATTTTGATAAACCCATGCAGCATCAATTAAACGATAATTACAATGTAATATGGCGTCTCGAACTATATTTTGAACTTTTTCTGGTTCACTGCGCCATGTACCAAGGCCTGCAATAATCCCAAACATATAAATACACAATAAACGTTTGCTGCAATGCTTTTTTACCTAATTGCGGCATTGTCTGTTTATCATTTAAAGTAAGTCGTGATTCCATTGACAATGGTTTCTCTTCGTGCGTCGTCATTATTGTTTTGCAAACACTCTAAAAATGCAAGAATAATTTATTATTTAATTATTTAGAAATTTACAAGAAGAATCATACACTAAAACTTCTAATGTATTTTGTATGATTCGCAAAGAAAGAAAATATTTTAATAGCACTCTTTTTACACAGCATGCCGATATATTATATTCTTAGTAGAAAAAAATACAATATCATCGAAAAACGATAACGAACAACAAAAATATTTGCTTTAAACTGGGTGACGTCATGAAATTTTATCAGCCAATAGTGACAGCATCGCGGTCAGTATTTGCTATAAAGGAAATGTGTGATCCTCTAATAGAATCGAGTTTACACACTGTTTTACATGAAAAAGAAACGAAATAGTGTGTACACTGTACAGTAGTGTCAAACTTGAAACTTGAATTCAATTGAAAATTGAAATTTTCAACTTTCAACTGATACCGATATATGTGTGAGTCACAATTCTTCAGAATACTATTGGTTTAAAAATTGAAAGTTGAAAATTTCGATTTTCAATTGATTTCAAGTTTCAAGTTTGTCATATATGATACTGTACACGCTGAGCTTCATTTTTATACGTTTTTTTTCTACGACAATTTTCGTGCTTTGATGATTAAAAGAAATTCATCTATTACATGTGATCAAAGTTTCGTACGCCACCCAATCGAAAAATAGATAGAGGCACTACGGCATTGTTCATGTTTACATAACATTGTGTATAGTTTCGCGGCACCCACACTCTTTTATGTCATCAGTTTAGAGTGTAGAGTAGAGCTCCATCGGGTAGGAAACAACCTTGCACCACTCGAGCTCGAATTCTATTCTGAATTCAAATATCTTGGACGCGGCTGACTGTAATATCTGGGTGTCGTCGATCTGGAAAAGAGCAGAAAAAATACTCGAAACGAATCCATTCTAAAATAGATTAATTTTTAACTCTTAAAAAATCAGAATATTTTGTTCGCAGTTTTTTCATCATACCAATGTTCCTCTGTATGTGAATTTTAGAATATAAAATTTAGATTACCGCAGCACAAACTTGATGAAATGAAAGATTTTAAAGGGTGAGCAATCATCGTTAAATATTCATCGTATTTTTAAGCAGAAGTGGAAACAAATGCTTATTTTGGATGTCAGCTGCCTGTGTCACTATTAGTTTTAAACAATAAAATCTCATCTTTCTTCAACAGAAAAAAAGATTGTTATCTTGTGATATAATGAATAATAAAGCAGTTTTCGAATAGCAACTTTTCTGTAACGAAAATTTTGTTTCAATAACATTACCAGCAAACCATTCTATTTCAAGAGGAAAGCGAAATGTACCCCAGTGATGTACACGGCTATAAGAAGAAATATACCTCAATTGTACACCATTTCAAAATTAAGATTTGGCAACCCTGCTGCACATGCATCATTGTAAAAGCTTTGCTATATATATATATATATATCTGTTAAACTATGTACACACCTATTGCTGTGAATAAATAATGATCGATAAAAATCTTAGTTCATATTTTGTACTCAGAAAGATCTTGTTTCTTTGCTTGTATTAGATATTTTATAGAAAGTTCTAAATAAATACGAGTGCAACAGGTTCTATGTGTATATACTATGAATGAAACATATTATTTTTCTACAATCTATGTTCTTGTATTCGTGCTGAACGAACGAAAAATAATTCTCTCGATTCCATGAATTGCGTCGAATTTTATTTTGATACACTGCTTAACCTCTGATTAATAATCATTTTTGAAGTAGCTCCAATCGAGTTTTAAATGCATATTGAAACAAATTATTTTCAATCAAGCTTTTATTTTATACCGTTTATAATATCTATTCCGACAAAATGAGCTAATCATCATTCTAAAACCTTTCAAGCTCTATTTCTAATTGTAGAGTTAGATTTTAACGATGCACGATAGTAATGTACTGACGATCTATTCATTCTTGTTATAAAAACTACCAAAACAATATATGGATTTAGGATTTCTACAATGATATGTATTTTGTGAAAATCTAATTGTTTTCGCATGAATAAAATAAATGTGAAATTTTTTGAAGTTCATTGAATTCTGCATGATAATTGTTCAAGACGATTTTTAGAAGCGTTGATATGACTAAAAAAAGGCCTTCTATGTACTGTCATAGCATAGATTTTGAAATCATAAATAGCTCTAAATTGACGTTCGATAGGCATTTCATCATGTTGTTTACAACTAATAATGATTTATACGACGAGCATCCGACTATTTATAATAGATAAAAATATGATTGCCATAGTGCGTCTACTTGCCGACGAAAAGTCTAAGTGCAACAGTATGTATGACGTCAATGTTTATTTCATCTGAATACGTCATACATTTTATTATTTTCAAATGAATATCTTCGACATTCTATCTAATCGGAATGCCTATTCATAGAAACTGGTGAAAAGAAATTTTGTAATCTAGGTATGAATGAATAATAGCTACACAATGAGAGGTGTCGAAGTGTACCACTACATCGTATTTATATATAAACATGGTGTAGTAATATGTCCTTGTTGCATCGTTTCTCTTTTTCTCCTTCTTTTGTTCTTGTCCTTTATTGGCTAGAAATGTAGCAAGCTGAAGTTCACGAATACTTGAACTTACATATAATCGTTCTTTTGTAACTAACTATACTATCCGATTAGTCTTTCTTTTTGTTTCTTTTTACTTCATTCACTCCAAATTTGACCTACTAAGGTAAAATCGTTTTTTTTTTTATTCAAATCAAGTATTTTTAGAGTGCGAATGTAATATACTTATTCAGATTCTGTCATTCATCCTAAACAAACATTTTGATTGTAAAACAAGAGGTTGATTTGTTTGTGAAGTGTTGAATCGAAACAGTACAGTATCTTCAAAGTTGAATAAAACATGCTTTGTAATCTTGATATTAGTGTGTTAATTTTTTTATTGACCTTTTTGAAGCATTGTGAAAAAGTTGAAATTGTATCTTAATGCAACCGGATCATAGATTCTTTGGCATCAATGCAAACACTTATGAGAATTAATTTCATATTCAATTTGGTCTTATATTGAATATGGAAGTTCGATCTATATAGTTTTGGGTAATATTTTAAGATGAAGATATTGATTGATCTTAGAGAAGTTGGCAATAATAATTCTATTGATGTAATATTCATAAAAAATAGCCTGACATATTTGCTAAAATAAAGTTTTGGCACATCATGGCAGCACGTAATACACTTCGAAGTACATAGTTACATCGATATACATAGATTATATTCGTTTAGATAATGTTCGTAACAAATTATACTTATTGCTGTATAGATACAAAGTGATTACAATATTGTTTTAGAAATTTATTTGATCCTTCTCAGTAAGAATAGACAATATGATTTTCGAGTTTCCACGTGAAATTTTGTATAGAAACAACCATAGACAGATAAGTTTCTTGTGATAGTTTAAGTTCTGACTTTAAGATTCACTTACAATAAAAAGACCAGCATTTTTACAAACCGATAGAAGTGTATTAAAAGAATATAAAATTTTCATTTAGATCGGTCTTACCCTGACTTTACAATTCGAAAAACATATTTTCTATTGTTTCATATCGAAGCGTAGCAGTCATATAAAAATTTATTTGTAAAAATTCATTGCAGTAAAAATCCAAGTATCTAAATTCTTTTTCAGATTCTCATAACGTAATCGAGTCTATATGACGCATATGTTTTTCATTCAAAAGTGATTTATCACTAGAGACTGATTTTCCTCGTTATTCGTAGGATGAATCAATAGCAAATAATTCCATCGAATGGAATAGTTAAGATTTGTTTCAACCATCGCAGAATAAGTAGATTTCAAGCAATTTGAAAGAGATAAAGTTAACAAAATAGTATAAAAAAAATAAATGAGTCATTGTATGCACATTTTAATGTAAACAAAGAATTCTTTTAGAATTAATACAATAGTAACAGTATATATATAAAGACCAACATATTCTACAATACAATAAATACTCATAATAAATCATCATCAGAATCGGTATCACTCGATGAACAATTTGTTGCATTTGTTTCTTCATTTAAAGTTGAAAAAATATCCGATGCAAATGATGTGGTATCATGTTTCGGTGGTCGTACAGCTGTAGTAACTGGTGTATATGATGATGCATTTTGAGTTGTAGATGCATTAACAACTGTTGTTGAATTAATTGTTGAATTTTGCATATTCATTTGTTGCTGTTGCTGCTGTTGTTGTTGTAATGTTTGTTCACTTATGCGGCCAAGAAGACCACGATTCATAGCAATGTTTGTTGGATATGGTCGTCGAATATCCCCTTGTTGCCAATTATCTGGTGCTATTGTTGAATAGCATGATGCTAATTGATGTGCATAGCGAATAATTGTCTCCGAAGGAAACGTTTTAGCGCGACGAATATTTGCTAATTTTTCACGTGCTTGATAGACTGCCGATGAAAGTACTTGTACCGCTTGTAATAAATATGTCTGCAAACAACGTAATGCTCGATCACATTTAAGAATTTCATCACGTTTCATTTGTAATTGTCTTTCTAATTCTTGTTGTTCACGAACAACATGAATTTGTTGTGTTAAATAATTTTGTCGTTCAATAAACATATCAACTAATGTTTGTGTATCAAAATTATTATTTGTTGATGATGAATTATATAATTGTGAAATTATTTCACGACATATTGTATCCATTTCTTGCAGAAGTAATTCTAATTTACGACGCGTACCAAGATTTGTATTTTGTACTATTTCAGCCATGTGTATATTCTTTCAATAACGAATATCAAATGGATGAAATCTAAAGTAATAATATGAATGTATATCTATACTTGATCTTTTCTATCTTCTTTTTTTTTCATACATTGAAATGGAAATGTTATAGATATATTCATCTATGACATCCAATTAAATCCGAAAACATCTTTACTGACCTCTATATTTAGTTTGTTTTTATTCTTTCTCGGTATTCATTGGATTTATTTGACAGGCAGCAGCTGATTAGTTCTTCTCCTTCTCCCGATCTCTCTCTCTCTCTCTTTTTATACTAGAGAAAGGACGGCTGATTGTCGCATGCTATTCCTTTACCCGTTTACCCTCTTCTAAGTTAATGTGGCGTTAGGTATTTATCTTTTCGAAGATTTATAGGTTACATTTAAGTATACAGATATCTGTTTTTTTTTCTATAAATGACATAAATATTTAGTTATTATAACCGTAGTATACCGAGCGTGTGTCTAAAGAGAAGATTGATCTTCTGCACATTAAAATGGCTCTTGGACCTCCAGTATCAACAACAGCTTTTGTTGTTGTTTATAATCCATCACAAGTACGAATTCCAATATAATTATTATCAATTTTAATTATTATTTCTCGTTTTTATTTCTTTAGTACATTTATAGTATTACCAATGGTCAAAATGCAGAACGAATTGAAGCACTTAAACATCTATTTGAATGTTTAACACATTCCGATATTGATCTTGTATGTAAAGATATATTTTTATATTGCTAAATAATTTTTATTTATTTATTATAGATAACTTTAGGAAGCATTTGGCTATGTGTAACAGGTTTATTGACCAATGAAGAACAACAACGATTAATGAATAATGAAATACGACAATGTGCATTTAAATGTATATTAGAATTAATTAAGATAGAAGTAAGTTTATTTCTATTACAACAGTAGTTCAGAAAATTTTCGTAGTCCAGTTGATCCATGAGGAATAGGTTGATTTTTAATTTTTGATGCATTATTTTCTTGTGTCTGTTTATGATTTGATCGAAGAAATGGACGTAACGATAATGTTTTAAACCATGTACGAATCGCTTTCAATGGTCGTCGTCGACCATTAGTCTTAGGTTTTGTTATGGGATTTACAGATGACGAAGATGAAATCATCATGTTAGGTGTTGAAGTTGATCGATTCATTGTGCTGAGAGAATCGATAGTTGGTAAAGGGTGAAGAATTGTTTTTGGACGACGATAATGGATAAAGCGACTGATGATATTTTTTCGTGAGCGATGATAGATAGTTTGTGCGTAGAATTGTGATGATAGAGACAAGTCAATTTCTGAACGAAATGGATAGGGTTCCACGTTTTTGTTTGTATTGATCTAGATTTACAAAAAAATACAGTTTATTCTTTATCTCGAGACTTAATTAAATAATTTATTAGTTAAACCGTTATGTCGTCATCGATGCGTTTGTTTGTAATAACAGTAACAATATCAGTTTCTGATGATGATATATCGTTTGCGTTAGGTTCAAGATTTAGATTCTAATGACAACGAAAATAAATTAACTATCTATCAGAATTCTAATACTATTTTATAGATGCTTACTAAATCCTCATCCTCATTTAAGCTATCGTCTTGATCAATAGCAGATGCAAATGCGACCGATTTTTTCGATACACTACGTGGTATATCAGTTGATTTAATGATTGATGGACGTTTTGGTGAAGATGAATCTTGTTGCTGTTGCTGTTCTGAATGCGTAGTTTTACTTTCAATATTCTCTGATGAGCGATGCGAATGTATTAGTTTCAAAAGAGACACTCGCATTTGTTTGAATTTTTTATTTGAATAATCTAATACATGATCATTTTTCTTTATTTCTTTATTAGAAGATGATGGATCAATCGATTCCAATTGATTGGATATAGTTTTCTTTGAATTAAAATCTTTTAAAGTCATTTTTGTTTAGTTTTGTTGTAATATTAGACTAAAACAGTATTAAGAAATTTAGTGGTTAGTTTATTTTAATATTCATCCCCCTAGGGTTATGTTCCTGCCTACCTTGCCCATATAACTATCATAGACAAGTATAAGAAAATATTCTGTATAGGTAGGTGCTTCTTTTTTATTAGTTCACTTTATATACATCATTGAAGCGTAGACTTACCTGAGGCGATGAAATTCCTAAAAACAAAGGCATAAAACTTTTCTATCTTTTCTTGTGTCAATTATCATAATTTTGAAAGTCATCTACCTGTGTTATGTGTAACTTGTTTTTTACTGTATAATGACAAATGTTGACGAAAAACAAAAATCAAATGCGAAATAGGATGGCAGCTGTTAATATTTACATTTTCGTGTTAGATAATATAAAACATAAAAATAAGAAGTCATTAATTGTGTATAGAAAAAGAAGTGTCAACGAGAATTTCACGTAAAATTAATTGACATAAAAAATTGCATCTTGTTTTCGATCAAGCTCTCATGCACATTTAATAAATAAAACCAATACATTTTATGATGAAGTATTATGGTACGTAATTGAGTGCGATGTTGATTTTCATGTTTTGTCACAAATCTCTTTCGACTACTCTGCTCTATTGTGTTTGTTTTGTGATTAAGTACGACAATTACATAAGTGTAAAGCGTGCTCGTATGAACATACATGATTCTATTAATCTTGCATTGGTATATGTTGTACTATTTTCGTTTCATAATATTTATTGCCGGTGGTGTTCGAATTACATCCGATTTTTGTTTTTCAGATCGCACGATACGACTAACAACTATTCAAGCTAATATACTAAGAAGAAGACATGAGTAGTTTATATATTTCTCAGTTGAAATAAACACTGGACTTGATGAATTTATTGTGAATAGAAAAATTTCTTGATTTATTCGATCTGTCTATAAAATAAAATAGTATGATGATTTTTCCTAATAAATTATCTATTTCACATTTTGACTTAAGCATTTAAATACAATATATTTCGAGAAAAAGAATATAAAATAATATGATTCAGAAAACATATAGATATATAATAAGAAATCAAATAAAAGTTTTCATTCATCTATACATGAAATTCATTGAAAAGCAGACGTAAGCGTTTCTAAATCAGAAACTTACATAAATAGGATAAATATAACTGATAAATGGAAACAAATATTAGCCAGAACAAGAAATTATTTCCATATAAAAACCTAAATAAAAAGCATCCAATTAAATTTTATTTATTTGTTGAAGCAATTACAAAAAAGATTTTTCAATATGTGGCTATCGTTTGATTTTCTGGCACGTTATAAAATCAACAATGGTAATGATGCTGCATTATGGTAAAAATAAATTTTCAACTTGAAATAAAAAATCTTACCCTTGTATATTTCATTTAGGCTCGAATGCTTCTATTTATTAACTGATGACGGTAAAAGAATGGATCATGTTGATGATCGTCTACGAGGTATTGACGTTTAGCTTTTTGTATATTGAAGATCTTTATACCAAAACACAAAATAATGCTAATTTTATTCATTTAGTTCGCCTTATTATACAGTTAATTAGTGAAATTTTGACAGGCTGGATGAATCAAAATCTTCAAGCTGATCAAACATTAAAAGAATGCTTGACAAATAATTGCCGTTTACGAAACGATGAGTTAAATGCGATTCTGGAGTATATGTTTCGTTATTTAAATCCTGATGGTGATGATGCTACAATTGCCAAGAGTTGTTTAAAAACAGCAGCCATTAATGTAAATATAAGATAGATAGAAATAGTTTCACAAACAAAAGAGTTTTTCTTTTGTGTAGAAGTCCATTGGTATTTTAACTTGCATTGTTGATCATCATGTTTTAAATACAGGATTAATTCATTATTTTATTCAAAATGTTGTTGATTTACATGACAATTATAGATTTGTACATGGCATAAATACGGAATTATTGCAAGTATGTTATTTATTCTGAGTCAAGCCGATCTAGATTGTAATACAACTAAACTAGTCAACCAACTCTGTTTACTAGAGATTTATTCAAATATGTAGTGGTTTTTTTCAATAGAATATAGTTTATTCCTATTCAATTCAACGAAAGATATAGACTCTATCGATGAGTTGATTGTTTAACGTAATATAAATTAAAGCAAATAGTGAAATTAATAGTAAAATTTTATGAACAAATAATTCTAGTATTTACTGTACTCCTATGTATAATAAATTAGTTAGCTTGTATCATTGTGAAATTTAAAATTTTCACTAATCAAATATAAGGAAATTCTTTGTTTAAATAGAATACTTGATCTATGGATCTTTTACGAACAAATCATCAATTTTCTATTCAATTATTTGAACTAACTAGAACATTCGATAGTATGAAAATTTGATGAGTGTTGATAATCAACCAATCAAAAATTGTTTGGTTCAATACAACAATGAACTCTCTACATTGGTTCAAACTTTAATATAAGAACTGATCAGAATGATCATATTGAGCATTGAACTTCGAATATCATGTGATTATAACTGAACAAAAAAGAGTTGTTATACTTTTTCTCCAGCTGACAGTAGCGCGGTATGCCACAACGTCTAAATGAAAAGCAAAGGTTTCACCTTCTATTTCTGTACAACATATATTTTGAGAACTGATGAATGGATTCCTCTGAATTCATAACCAAGCAAAGAAAAATTAACAAATCTACACTTTATATTAGTTTTCAATAGATTTCATATAACTTGCAATTTTTATTTTATTTTATTTTATTTTATTTTTATTTAGTTAATTACAAATCATTTAGCTAAAGCTGCATGGCATATGATGTCAGCCGTTTCTGTTCTTTGCGGAATTATTGTCGAAAGGTAAAGAAAAATTTTCTTGAATTATTTATGCTATAACTTATTTTACATTTTTTATAGGTTAGAAGCTCCGATTAGTAAAGATATTGATCCATTGTCAACACTATTACTTGTTTTAACACAAATATTAATTGATAATCTGCAGCATCGTTCAAAAGCTCAACATCATGTACAAGTCTCACATGATGATATAATACATCGAAAATGTTATTTAAACAGAATTCAACAATTGCCATTATGTTGGTTAACAATGCTTCATCAAATATTAATCAAACGTCAAAACGTTAATATAATATTAATAAATTTTCAACAATTTATAAATCTAATTAATGATCAAACTTATTCTTGCGCATTAGATTTATTTGATATGACTATATGGAAAATGATGGATCAAATTATGAAAATCTGTCATCAATATTTAATTGTAAACGTGGCTTTTGCTTCAATTCTATTGTCTTCATCTTGCTTTTTTTGTTTTTGTTAAAGGTCGATCAAAAGAGTACACCAACAACGCGACCTATTTATGATAAATGTATGAATGGTTTTGAAGAATTAACAAGTAGACTATGCTGTTTACCACATACAATGGTAACATATTTATTCGATATCAAACGTTTAACATCATTAACAGTAAGAATTTTTTGAAAGATGAAAATTCTTATTCAAAATATGATTTTTCTTCGTTTGACTAGAAAACACCAATTCGTGTACAAATGATTAAGCAATCATGCGAGAAACTTCTACATGTTATTCGACCCAACAATCCTGAATGGTCACTTGCATTACGAGAACTTGTTGAATATATTATTTCGTAAATAGGACAATGAAATTGTTTTGATAAAAGAATCATTCATTCTATTTCTTAAAATGTAGAAATGCTAAAGAAACTGTTCCAACACGTATGCATGTATTAACAACGGTGTTGAATAAGTATTTATGGTTTAAAATGACCGATCAGGTAAATAAAATTTAAAATAGTATCTTTTAACATACTATCTCTACTTTGATTCTGAAGTATTAAGTTGAGTTTATTATTGATGATTGCAGACAATTCAACATTTTTCAGATAGTATGATATTTTATACTAATAGAAATTTTAAGAATAGACTACGTTCATATATGTAGTTCTTTTCAGAACTAATAACTCAATAATACTAAACGTTGTACGAATCTTCTATTCTCTCATATTCACAACCTAAAACGTTGAGGTCGTGTATGAATCTTAATGGGCATCATTGAAGAATTTCTTTTGATTTATCCTATCCCTTTTATCTTTACATATTACAAAATCTCATCTCATTGTTATCCGATTTTAAAATCATAGAAATAAACTTGACTCATGTAGTATTTCTTAAGTACTTTTCGAATCCGAGAGTGCTGAAATTTTTACAAACAAAAAAAATATAAGAAACTTTCAACATACTCTTCTATCGCAGATAAAAATCTTGATCAGCGTGGATTTTTCAAATAAACAAAAGAATTTTTTTTCTCCCTTTATTATCTTCTTTTATTTATTTTTATTTAAATTAGGTGACGAATATCGGTGAAATCATACTTGAAACATTAGAAAATTTAATTTATATTGATTTAAATTCGATATCTGAAAATGACTTTGATAGTAAACATGCACTTATGAAACAAGCTGCGGTGAAATCAATCTTCGAATGTTTTCTATCTGATCATTCAATTGATGCACATCTTGCTAGTCATTGTTATAAAATCATTACACAGGTAACTAGTGGAAAATAATGAATTTCGAATGGTGAATATATTTCACTAAAGTTTCTTGCTATTATTATCTTCACGACGTAACACCCTCAAAAAAAGAAATAAACTTTTAGACTATTGAGAAGAAAAATAGTACCACATTAAAAATAATTCCATTTGGATTACCATGAATAAGTTTTCTTTTCACGTAGATTTATCAACAAGATTGTGTACATATTGCATCAATTGAATCAATTCATCGGCCATTAATTGAACTTATTCTCGAACAGATGCATGAACTTTTCGAAAATAATCTAACATGCACACGTTTAATGTCATTTAATCATTGTTCTTCAATATTAAATTTTTTCATTAAGGAATATTTTTCAAACTATTCAAAAATAGTAACTTGTATCCAAGTGAAAACACGTAATCTTATATGGCAATTACTATTGAATATTCGTATACGTTCATCGGATTCACGTATTGGAATGTATTCAAGTAAAAAGGATACGATTCTATATGGCAGATATCGGTAAATAGAACATGATATTTTAATGGCATACTTATAAAATTAAGTTTTTCTTTATAGAATTAATAGCGATCAAAAGCCAAATGAGAATGAATATTTCCTGGATCTTCAGGATTATTTATTAAATATAGTCAATTGGTTAAAAGTTGTAAGATATTTTATTCTATACAGTGACTCATAATTTACTAGAAAATAGATTATTCAACATATGCAGTCTACTTTGATCAGTTGCACTGATTGTTGTTCGATGATGATACATGACTCCTCAAATTAACTTTTTACAAGGCAACTTCCAATTAATATCGTCTTGAACTAGCGCTATTGACTTCGATAAATAAAATAGAATACTTCCCTGCTATCTCGAACAATCTAGTGTTGATCGTTTGAATTCAAAAGGAATAATAATATTTAGTAGCTTTTCTTTCTATGAATTCCATAGCACAGCAAGAAAATAGCATATTGATCAGTTCATTATTCTATAAAACATTCTTAAGATTATGGCTACTATTCAACTCATGGATTTAATACCAGACTAATCTCATTCATTTATATTCTTGAGAATAGAGAATAAATGATAAAAGTTATACATATCATGTACTGAATATTCATGAGATAAATACTTTTAGTCAATAAAGTATTACTTTATTACGGTCAATAGCTTTAGTTCTACAAAGTATCGTTTAAAAACAAGAATTATGCATCTTGTTTGATTTCAGTAGACTGAAGATAATGAATAATTTTTGTCGTCTATAATAGTTATGAGTCACTCTTCATACATTATTCTAGTTATGAAATTGATTTTCCTCTCTTCATTTTATAGGAATCACCTGAAGTAACAAATGTAATATTAGAATCTTTGTGCAATTTTCTTAAAGAACAGTCAATCGTTGATTTAAGTCATATAAATATTGATCAATTAGTACCATTATTGATCAATATGGTAAGTAATCAAATTAGAGAAATTTATTACTGTATCAGAGACTAGGATTAATTTGGTTTTTAATGGAAAGAAAACTTAATATTTGATTATAAAAAGATTTTCGTTGACATATTTCTAGTAGAACGTGTTTTTAAATGATTCCATTAAACAGATCTCTTGATTATTGAGATGCTTCTGTTTTTGAAGGAACTTTAGTCATAGCCTGTATTTTTATTTTCTTTGATAAAATCTATTCGTTTGTTCTGGTTTAGTTTCATGATGATTTGATTAATAAAACTTCATCATTATCATTAAACTGTTTAATAATTTGTACCGGTTATAAAAATCAAATCTCAAAAATCAATCTTGTAATTGATTGTTTTATCGAAGCAATGAATTCTTCAAAATCTTCCATTATTATTGATGCCATACAAGCTTTTATTATATGTTTATCTAATCTTTATGACGAAATAAAAGTATATATTCCAAGAATTATTTTATATTTAAGTAAAAAGTTAAATTATGATGTTTATATATCCCAAATCCTTCTTGAATTTTTAATGCGTAAGTATTCTTTTTTTATGTACATAAAATCTTGATGATTTTTGTGTGAAACATGATATTGAGTGATAGGTGAATTTGAAAGATTAAATTTGGATGCTTATTTTTCATCTATGGAGCTCGTCGAGTCTAATTTCGCAAATAGTAGATCCGAAAAGTCCTCATTGTTTGAAAAATGTGCAGTGTACAGCTGATTGAAAATAGAAAAATAGTATCACGCCTTTTCCGATTAATTATTTAATGCTAAGGAAAAAATGAGAATGAAATTAAAATTCAATTCCACTAGTTCCAGGCTCAATTTTCTTTCCCTAAAGAATATGGTACGTGTTGATATGCGAGTATACACCATACATGAAATACCTTATCACATTTTCAGCGGACTAATAGGAAGAACAGTAGAAGCATGTCTTCAAAAATAGACACGATGAAAGAATTTCTCGACGGTTAACGCGAACAACTTTGCCATATTTCACATATTGGTTTCTCGGGGATTTTGCGAACAGTTTTTATATTACATTTAAATTAATTTAAGAACTGTTATTTGAAAATTACTGTGACACATCATTAACAATTTACTGCTTTCAAATCTTAATTGATATTATAAATCACTATCAATATCAAACAGCTCACAATCTCATCTTATCTCATACGTTGTTATGCTTTTATTTTAATCAATTACCAATGAATGAACGTAAATTATTTTCTTATTATATTCTACGAGTAAGATTAATTAAAGAAAAACAAAGGTCAAAAGGCTAGAATCTTTTTTTTTCATTACAGTCATTATATGAAACACCATTTTCTGTTGGTCAAAATTCAAACTTAATCGAAAGGCAAACACGTTTACAACGTTCAGGTTCATTATCATCATTAAACGATGATATGCATAATAATGATCTTGCGAGACGTAAAATGACAATACTAGAAACGGCACCACCATCACAAATCAATAGTAATGATGACAATAATAGTCCATTGAAAAAATTAAATGATGAACTAATACGTATCGCAATAAATTATCTAAATGATCACTTACATGAATTCGTTATTCCAAATACAACTTTAGTTTTATTACCGCGTGATGTACGTCGTCATCATTTAAATAATAGCTGGTTAGCTAATGAAAATATTCTCTATGAAATAAAATCATATGAGTTTCATCCATTAAATCAATCAAAAGATTTTTCAATGAATCTAACACATGACTATGAAGATACAGTGAAAAATCGTTATCGACGTTACACAGATGGAAATAAACAACGCGTTAGAAAAAACAAAGATTTACAAATTCTAACATCGTGTCAAGATGATCTTCATATTCGACCATTAGGTTTCTTGTTTTCAATTTGAAATCGATTTATAATATTTTCATTTTCTCTCTCTCTCTCTCTCTCTCTCTCTATCCTATAGAATTAGATACCAATCGATCATTGTTTAATGACAGAAATTTATGGATCGCTGTTACAGTTCGTTCATTTACAAGTACAAAAACATTTTTGACTATTAATTTATCAGCATCACCTGGAATCGTTTATACCAAAAATGAACAACTTCATTGGTTTGAGGGTAAGAAATTTTTAGTTTTTGTATTATTCATATTCGTGTCAGTAATGTTAGTTTTTTAAATTAAGTATAAGCATTCGATATTGCTTCCTAGTTCTTAATTTTAAGTAGCCTATCATAGTCGTTTATACTAGTTGAATTATTTTATATCCATAGATTTAATCAAATATTCTATTATTGTTCTCTTTTAATTTTTGAATAGTACTGCGGCAAGTATAATATAAATAGATTGAATACTTACTACAACAAATCATATCGTTTTATATGAGAATAGGAAAAAAAACATGAATCAGTTCAAAGCAAACCTGAAGAATTTGAGCTGTATAGGTTATTTGTTTCAAAGATTCTACAATAATAATGTAAGCGAAATTAACCGGCATTATCGTTTATTGTGACTAATAGAAATCAATTATTTTCGCGTCAGATGAAATATTTCACCATGCACCTAACTTATTTAAAAAGGTATACTGCCCATAGACTGTCTATATTTTCGAATCTCAGAGTATACCTAGTTTATGTAATATCGCACTATTGTTTTGCATCATATACATCTAGGCGAGTTACATAATACGTAAATAGTAATATTACTCAACTTAAAAAGTGATAACCCGTAAATATTGTCATTATCAAATAGAAATGTTAATAGACATGATTCTTCGTGTTTCAAAATTGCTGTTAAATATATGTGCTATGGGGTTTTTCGAGTATTCGGTAATGATCAAGATAGAAGAAAACTAAATCCTGTTAAAATTATAAAGTACAGTTCATGGCATTGATGGTTAAATATCTTACAATTCAAATATTTTAGCCCATAAACACAATGCACAACCCCAATTTTATATTAGTTTGTTTGATAGTGACATCATTCAACTTGAATATCCTAAATGTGCGTCACTTATATTACAGAACCTATATATATATATATATATATATATATATATAGATGTTTAGCATATATTGAAGTGGTGTTTTTCGTGAATTGCTTAATTTGTGTGTAAAAATGATTCGAAATATTTTCAATAAAAATCATTATTGTATTTGTGTTTTTAAATATTTCTAGCGGTTAAATTAAAGGATACAGCTGCAGATAAATTAAACCTAATTAAAACTGTGCCCAATTATTGGCAATACGAACAGAATAATTATTCAATCAATAAAACTGCCTTAAACGATGAATTTCATTCAATGATTACTAGTATCGAGTAAGATCTAAACTTGCTCTTAATAGTTATTTATTTATTTTTTCGAATGAATTTTTACATTATTTAGTCGAAAAGATGAAGAAAATATGTTAAATCGACATAATGAAAGCTATTTTCCTCAAAACATTCTTCGTGTACCATCCGTATGTTTCATAGAAACTACTAAATATTCTTTTTATTTATATAACATTTTATTTTAAGGAAGCTCGAAAGTCAATTGAATCAATCGATAATATCGAACCAGTACGTGTAGCAAAGATTGGTGTTGTCTATATTCATCCAGGACAGGTAAAATTCCATAAATGGTTTGTTATTTGAAAGCATTTATTAAAAGTCTAATTTCCTAGGAAATAACTGGAGTAAATATTTTGTCAAATATTCAAACATCACAACGGTACAAACAATTTATGCTATCAATAGCTAAATTGAAATCAATACAAGATTTACAGCAAGAGAATTTTTATTGTCCATTGTTGGATGCTAATAATGCGGATAATTGTGGTCAATATGCTTATATTTGGCAAAATTCAATCTATCAAGGTAAATAAATAGAAATTTTCTATTTTTTTACAATCTTTATTTTTCAGTTTTATTTCATACATCGAGTATGATGCCAAACACACGATGGGATCATGAATTCAAAAAGAAATTAATTGGCAATGATTATGTTATTATTTCATATAATGAAAGCGATTATCCATTTGAAATGCAAACAATTAAAGTAAGCATTTGAATTTTATCGAAAAATTGCATTTAAATCAATTTTAGAGTGGAGTATGTCAATATGCTATTGAAGTTTGTCCACAAAAAAATTCAAATTATACTCGTGTTCGACTCAAACGACGAACTCCAACCACTACAACACGTAAGTTTGTTTTCTTTCGTTAAGAATTATTGTTACTTTCGATACTATGGTTTTTATTTCTTTTTTACAACCAAAATCATCAAACCATGCATTTATTTTCACTACTAAAAATTCGAATAAATATAAAAAATAAATTTCAATAATCTCCACTGCTAAATAAGTTATTGGAGGATTGTTTATTTTTTTTAACAAGGATAAAGATGTACAGTGGAAACTATTCAAGTTTTTGTTTTAGAAGACTTCTACTAGAAAGTCTTTTCGTTTACGATGTTCAATAAAATCTCTTTATCTGAGCTACAAAATCTCTTTGTGAATTCGAAAAACTCTGCTTTTGTAGCGTATACCGTCTAAGCACTGAAGAATGAGGACTTCAATTTTCTCACTACATTTTTATTCGTCCAAAAATTGTTTGTTTGTTTCTCTCTATGTTAGAAACATACGAAAAATATAGCTTGTTGAGCAATTTGTCTGACCTATTGTAAGGAATGGTAGTACAATTGAGATAAAGTGTTGCCAAAAGGATTTCCTTTCTGGCAGAAAACAAAATTCAACGGAAAGTTCGATATTTTGAATAGGAGAATAATTCTTTTTTAATCAAATACAATGAATCACGCGTATCTCTGTTGAGCTCCTACAGAGAATTTAGCCGTTACACCAAATTAATTTCTTGTCACACACATCTCTCAACGTAATTAGCCTGTAAAATTTTAAAATAATACCGTCAAAAACTTGTCAAATAAACAGAGCATTAAGAAGAATATAATACAATTCACATATTTACATTTTTCTGTAGTTCTTTTGAAACAAAATAGTATATAATTTTCCGATTCCGAGCACGTTTAACTAATATTGAAAACAATGGACAAAACATTCATTCTTGATTCTTTTTTTATAATAATAGAAAATGCTTCAACAACGAATACAATATCATCAAATAACATCGATTATTTACTATCAGATGATTATGTTGCATCATATGTTCGCGTATTGGCATTGTGCTTATGCCAACAAGGTGAACTGGAAGCTCGTCAACGCTCGTCATCACCTACGCCTTTTGTCATATCACCATGGCAAAATCGTCTTCAAGCACTGCGATCATTACGTACTCGTTGTTTTCTTTCATATAGTAATCGACAATCGATTAATTAACAAAGAACAAAAGTTCCAATACCAAATATTACTCCATTTTCATATACAATCAAGTGTTTCATAGAAACAAAATTTTTTCATTTTTTTTGTTCTTGTTGTTCGCTTTCTATTGGAATATTCATTGGGGCAGTCCTTTTCATTTTCTCTCTCTGTTTCTCTCTTCCATAAACTTGTTCTTTAATAAGATTAAAATAGTCGTTGGTATTGACCAGATTTATTATAATATTATTTTGCATATTTCTCACTCCTTTTTTCCTTGTGATTCTTTCTTTTTTCTTGATATTATATATTGTATTTGACAAGTCGATACTAGGCAAATGATGATATTAGCAATAAAATGCGGGAGAGTGTTGATGGTTATTGATGAAGAATATTTTCATTAAAAAGCAACTCTTTATTTAGATCTACTATCAAAAATAATTGAAAAAATGTGCCGAGAACGAAAAGTAAGTGAAACTAATAAGATAGATGTGAAATATGAAATTTATATATTTTGAAATTAGGTCGATCAAAGTCAAGTTGATAATACAGCCACTGATCAATACAATCAATTAATTGAACAACTCCGTATGTATATTTAAAAGAAAAAGAAAAGTATTGATTCAGAATTTTGCTTTTAATTACTATTGGCAGAGAGTGAATTAAATGAATTACTTGAAACAACTACTCATTTACAAGAAGAAAGTGAACGTCTGGAACGAGAGGCACGTAAATTAATCGATGAAAATATTCAAGTACAAATTGAAGCACGCTTACTAAAAGAGAGATATCGTCACCGACGACGACGACGACGAAATCTATTATCTATAAGAAAAAAGCGATTAAATTTTAGTCAATTAAAACAAGAACTACAGCGGGAACGACAAAGTTTTCTGCGTTTTGAACGTCGACTACGTGCTAAATATGAACAACCACTACATCAAATTGTTGCAACCTCAACAATAACTCAACAACCACGTCGTTGTCGTCGAATTCGATCGATGCCATCGGAATCCATTGATTAAAATCATGTTGCTGTATATAAATCGAAATTTATAAATGTATACGTATACTATATATATATATGGAAAAGATCGAAAAGACATTGTAACGTTCGTATTTAAGTGTAGTTTTAAAAATAAATAGATCTATTGAAACATTCGAAATAATTTATCTTTCATTGATTTGGCTACAAGAATTATGCTTTTCTAGAAATTTGTTTAAATCTCAAAACAAGAACTTTTATTTCAGTATCATGTCGATCGTCTAAACAAGCATTTCATCATTTAGAATTAGTCTTCTGCACTTTTTTAGAAAACTACTGAAGAACTGTCAGTTTCTATGTAGTACATAATTTGCTGTTTGGTGGTCTCAATAAAATATACTTCTCAGTTTTCAAAAACCAGTGTTTAAACTCTTATTATTTTTAAAGGAAAATGTACTTGATAAAACTCTTTATTTTTATATTACTAGTACTATTTCATCAATGATAACTCAGTGAACGAAAAGTCTATAGGGCTAAGTTTTTCAAAATATCTCAAGTAATTCAATAAACACTTATTGGAAAAGGACGATTATTTCCTATTTGATTAAAAGGTCATTACTGTACGGAGCACATTTTTTATTCATAATTTTTACGAATAAGTACACATCTCTATGAATTCGTTTTGCTAAATCAATCCTGAAAATGAGAAGAAAAAAAACAATGAAGTCAAATTAGACCATTTTTAAAAGATACTATTTAAGAAGATAATTTAGAAGTTAAATAAGTATAAATTCGAACGTGCTTTTAAAGAAAACCAAATGAAAAAGAACGACAGTAGAACGAACACATATAGAATCACCCAATTGTTTTGCTTGACTATGAATTGATATTGTTATTTTAATGTCACTCACAAATATTAGATAAACTATATTACTATCATCATTGATCATGTACAGGGCGGCTAAATCTTCTGAACAGTAGGGAAGATTTCTGAAACTTGAAGTTCTCTCTGAATTTCTCAAGGGGAAAACGGTGGATTGCGGATTTTCGGACGTTTTTTTGGATTTCTGGATTTTTTTCGGATTGCTCATGAATTGGCGATCCCGAAAATCCGCCGTTTCCCCTTTGGAATTTCTTCTGATTTTTTCCGAATTCGAAACTATTTCAGATTCCATTTTGTTAGTGCAGTTCAGTACAATTATAGCACATTACTATTATAGATGTATATTGCGGCACCTTGTTTTTCTCAATTATCCGTTGGTAATTTTTGACTTATATAGGCAAATTCAGCTACAGCAATGCACTAGGATTTGATAAATTTCTTTTCTTGATTTCGAGAATCTTATTTAATTGAACATTCCACAAATGAAAACAAAATTATCTATTGGATGATATTAATATGGTTGAATCTGGTTGTGAAGAGAAACAAATCGAAATAAATAAATTAGTCACAGCAATATCATTTCGACATATAAAGGAAAAAAAGAGTTTTCGGTAAAGATTCGTTATCGATTGATGAATATTCATCTTGATAGTGACAAATCTTTGGAAATGAAGTACCAGTCAATGACATAAAAGTAGTGGAATAGTTAATGCCAGCATCGTATACAGAAGGCGCTATTTCACAAAGAATAACGTTTTTGATAAACTTCTGGTTTTTCAATTTTCGATCTGGCCACCCTGATCATGTATTACGTAGTATAGTTGTTAGTATCTTTTATTTTTTAAATTATCTATTAACATTTTCAAATTCATCACAGTTTCATATAACAATGTTCATCAAATTTTATGAAGATCACAAATATATATATATTCGGCCTAATCCAGAAGAAAATTTTCGATATAAAATGATTCTTCAAAATCACAAATGATTAGATTCATAGGAAAAATAAAAGTAATTATGAAATAGCTCGGATAGTTTTCGTCTATCTACTACTATTTGTTATTGATCAAATAATTACATTCAATACAGTGCAAAAAAAAATATTTTTGTAAAACATGTCATGACTGGAAAAAAATGTTTTTTTTTCATTAACCAATGAAAATACTGTGGTGATGATGATGATGATGATGACGATGCAGCAACATAATTGCTCTGTTTTTCATTATCTTTTATATTATTGCTTTCTAAGCAAATAAGCAAACAATATCGAAATGAAGCTTTTTTGATTTCTACTGTAAATCAATTTATAGATAGTTTTTGTTACACGTTTAAATTTAAGTAATTAGCCAATGAATTACCATGAACAAAAATCTCAAACAAGCATAGGATTAAATTATTCGAAATTCTCATCTTGGCCTTCAATTAAAGACAATAGTAAATCTTTATGAATCGATATATATATATATATATATGTATTAATTTTATGACGCAAAGGAGAAGATAGGTAAATAAGTGTAATAGACTGTCTTTCGGCAATACAATGACAATTGATATGTAACAAGAACAACAAAAATGAATATTATATATATTTATTTGCCATTGCGGAGGCATCAATTTATACAATGGAAAGAAATAGATAAAAGAATGAACTCTTATTTCTACCTCTTTCAAACAGAAATAAAAACGTCTATTCATCTTGATTTCACATTTAGTAGACAGTTAAGTTGAATCAGTCAACATGATATTAATTCAGCGGATAATAATTGGAATATGCTTTTTATCTAGTGAGCTATTTTTTTAATTTTCATTTTAGTTTAATTCTGTTATCTATTCATAGATATTCAAATGATTAATTCAATCTTATGCTATCAATGTACAGATTGTCCAGAACCATTTGAGGAAGGTTATCCATATGTCACTATAACAAACAATACAAATTTTCTTGCACAATGCACTGTAAGTTTTTCTTATTTTAGTTAAAATGAAAAAAATAAGAAATATTTATTTCTCCAATAGAAAACAGTTATGAATTTAGGTAATGGTCAAAATTTAGTATCGAAGGGTTCAGTATTTTTTTGTCCAATTGAAACAACAACTGCTAATACTCGAATTTATTGTTGTGGTACTAATTATTGTAATTCAAGTAATCATTTCAATTTATCAATATTTTTATTTTATCTATCATTTTTTATTTGGATACGAACATATTTATAAATATAAACTATGAAATTTAACTAACTCAATAATAATTTCAGAGGTTAATGTAAAACTTGTTCTGTTTTAATTGAAAAAATAAAAAATATCTTTTGCTTATTTCTTTCTCGATGAGTGAATTTTGGTAATATTGATAGAGGTGTTTTCTTGTTCCTTTTTCATTTGAAATATAAAATACTAGTGACAATTTTTTAATGAAAAATCGTTATTCGGTAAAATTGATTTAATTCATGTCTATTATTAAAGTCATCTGAAGATAACAGCGATGAGTTAGTAGGAGAAATTCTTTTAGAATGATAAGATAATCATTTATCGTAAGAACATTTAAAAAGCGTTAACCAACATGACCATGATGAACTTTGATAAAAATTTGAATTTCTATCGTGAATCAAAATGAATACAATGTTTTCAATGCAAATGTTCGTCGATGATAAACAAAAATAAGACAAGCACTAAATTCAAACTTAAATATATTTAGTAATAGATGAGCAATGGATTTTACTAAAACATTACAATCGGAACACAATATAAAAAAATAAAACATACAAAAAAAAACAAGAAAATAAAAATAGCTATCAGAAAAACATACAAAAATAAACAAGAAAACAAAAATAGCTATCAGAAAAACAGAAAAATGAACCTTTCACTAAATATATGAATACCACACACAATGTCTTCATTTTCGAACGCACATCTGGCAATTTTCTTGTTGATGTAATATTAAATTTTCGCAATATTTCGTATTAACAATACAAAGAGTAACAAAAAACCGCGAAATTTGAATAATACTATCTAGAAAAGCAAATTAGCTTCTTTGCTTGTTAGATAATAGCTGCTTTGTTTGTTATGTAAACTTTTTTATGTTTGTGAAGGGCCTCACCTGCTAGGCAAGACCCCTCATCCGAGTACGTAGCGGATGAGGCCCTTCAGCAATGTTAACCTTGATCACACTAGCTATACAAAAACCCATTGATTCTTGAATCATTAATGTTCTGCCGCTTTCGTGACATGAGTTCAATTAATTATGTTGCGTATTTGCAGACTAGCAGATATATTATCACAAATAGAGGTGTCAGCCGAAGGGTTGAACGGCGACGGTGGGCAACACTTTTCAATTTTTTAACTTATCCAGCAGCTCGTTATTTGAATGACTGATGTCTTCAGCGGGCGGCTCCTACAAATTGTTAAGATTTTTTTCACAGCGGCGGCGGCTCAGTTAAAAATTCACTGATGAAACTTAAAAGAAAAATGTTCGATTCGATCGCATATGTATTGATGTCAGCGGCGGCAAATAACGCTATCAAAATTTTTTTATCTCTTGCAGCGACGACTCCCCCAAAATTCTTAAAACTACCAGTAATTTGGTGGCTGCAGCGGCTCAGCCGTACAGCTGACACTTCTAATCACAAACATGAATTCATTATATGTGAAGACAAGCGCCTGTGTGTACGAAAAAAAGATACGTAATAAAACGTAAGCTTGAATGAGCTAACATACAAATACCATTAGTTTTGTTTAATGCTCAAGATAAACATCTACTTCAATGTTGATAGACAGTTCATAAGGTGATGATAGAAACAGTGATATCAGCATAAATCGAAAACTGAGTCTAATCTATACAAAAGCACCGGCCAACAAAATAAAAATTTCATCACAAGAAAAGTGCGTGAAATAATCGTTTTGTTTATCGATCACTTCCATAAGATTTTCCTCAAATTTTGAATTATAACGATTCCAAACATCGACTTTAATCATTTGCCTTACCATCACCTGAAACCATCCACAAAAGATCAAACAAGCTTGTAGAATGCTCAGCTCGAGTCAACTAATGATCGTGATATGATCAATAGGTCAAAACGTTTGGTATACTTTGCTTCAGATGTGCGTCCTCAACTATTGTGAAAGTTCGTATTTACGAAGGAATTCTCAGTAGAGTGATATCACTCAAAACAAACACATCAGACAAAGTTCAAAAAGTTCTCAACAAAACTAGAGAATGACTAGATTCTATAACTAACCATAAGCCAAAAGTTATTGTTTTTTTAAAAATTTCAATGATGCTTGAATGTGGAAGATCTGAATCATTTTTTGTTAACATTAAAGGTTTAAGTCATTAAATTCATTTCAAGTAAACAGTTTTGGTAGACATACACGCTAAATTACCACAATGCTCTTTACTGAACCAATCAAACATTGAACACCGATCAATTGTATTGATATCATATAATCAGCAGAGCTGTGAAGCTACTTTTCATTATCATTTGTTTATCAGAATTGTCCACTAAACTAAAAAAAGACAATATAATTGATTAGTGATGATAATATCTCATTCATTTTAAGTCAGTACTCTATACTAGATTGAATATTATCAAGAAAAATATTTCCATACAAGAAAAAAGAATTCGTACTGTATTGTAGGCCAGAATAGTTACCTTAAAATCTGCCTACAATCCCACGAAACTTAACCTTTGTTAAATATATAATTAAACAGAAAATATAATTAATCCACTCACTATTCATATAAATACTGTCAAATATTACATTTTTATAATCGTGGGTCTCATAATAATATCAGTATTAAATTCCCAATGACGCTCTTTACTTACATCATAGGTAATATTAAAATTTTTTTGTCACTAATTATGATATTTCGTCATTTTAGTTTCGATAACGAGAAAATAGAAACAGATGTATACAAGCATTCTCCACAAACGTATTAAACTTCATAAGGCTTCAAAAATAAACTGGCGATAATATTTAATATATGATATCTCTATAAAAAAAACTAACAAGTCAACAGTATTTCTGATTCAATTGGAAAAAATCATAACGAAATTTTAATCTTTTATTCTATGGAATACGACGATACTGACAAACTTTTTCTTTTCTCCTATTCTATGAGATTGACGAGAGACGACCGTTCCATAAAAAAGCGCCGAGTTTTATTTGCAATATTTATTTGAAAACAAACGATGCATGTTTTGGTAGCCATCAGCTCTAAACAACGAACTCCTATAAGTCTAAAAAAAATCCATCTAAAACATGTTTTGTTGTGTTTCCAACGCGTTGCTATGACTTTCGCTTTTTTAATTTTTGTATATATAAATATGAAATTTTGTTTTAGCTCGTGGAATACTATTAATTAAATTATAGATACTGAAAACTGATCTATAAGTGCTCTTTCATATAAGCATAGATTATTCATAAAGTCGTCATGAATTTTGAGATACTAAACACCTAACTACGATTCATTGTACTAATAAATAAAAATTTCATTGTTATATTGACTCGACAAAAAATGTCTCACCATCATTCTCATGCGAGTTATGACGGGCAGACCAACATGATATTTAAGTGATGTCAACCTATACCTTATACAAGTATTGTTAAAAAATATGATTTACATTTCATAGAATAAGATAGGGATGTACTTACACGTTGTTGTGCCAACTTTTATAAAATATTTAATTTCAAATTTTGATGATGACAGTTGTTCGACTTGCTAAAAGATTCAACTCCATAAAATATTGAATCTATTTATTTTTGTCTAACAGTCGATCTAACTGTAAGCAAATGATGATAGATAGTTTATAATTATATTATATTTTTCAAAGCTGAGAAATTTCTACATACTTCCAAGATGAATGAGGCACGAAGATAATAGAACAGAAGGTACGAGAAAACATGATGAGCAACCCTGGCTTCGTATCCGTGATCTTTATATAAATTATAAAAAGAAAAATATTCCCAAAGAAAAACTCCGCACGAAAATAACTCGTGTTTATAGAAATATCAAGATGTTTTATATGCACTCTGATGCAACTGGGTATTTTTCTTCATCAATGAATCATTGCTTGCGGGGGGGGGGGGGGGGGGGGGGGGGGGGGGGGGGGGGGGGGGGGGGGGGGGGGGGGGGGGGGGGGGGGGGGGGGGGGGGGGGGGGGGGGGGGGGGGGGGG